TTATGATATGCGTGCAATACCTCGATCGTTCTCACGAATTCTAACATGAAGCTCATTGCGCAATACGAAAAAAAAAACATCTCAAACGTAACTCGTCGTTTTAATTATGTGCGATTTGTAAAAGTCGAGTCGTTAGCTTCATGCAAACGGAGGTTTTTGTTTATTGAGGAAATGAAATTTCGGAATGTTGATTACAAATATTTATTCGTGATTCTGGTGACGTAATTGGAAATTTGATGTATTCATTTGTTTTAATGTCATAATTACTTCGAACGAGCATTAATCAAAATGACAGCCGCTCGTTTAACAATTTCTAATAAAGACTTTTCAAAAATCTCTTATCTTCTATCTTCTATATTTGTATATATAAATAAATTGCTGTTCGTTAGTCTCGCTAAAACTCGAGAACGGCTGGACCGATTTGGCTAATTTTGGTCTTGAATTATTTGTGGAAGTCCAGAGAAGGTTTAAAAGGTAGATAAATATGAAAATGTTCGGAATTAAATAAAAATAACAATTTTGTTTTTCTTATGATATGTACCCCATCGGACGGATTCCTTTTGTTTATTTTAAGTTTATTTTATGCAAAGTTTAGGTCTTTTATTTATCGATTGAGGCACTACGAAGTCTGTCGGGTCAGCTAGTAGTGCTAGTACATACTAAAATTTAAAGGCCAATTAAAAAAATACAACCTTAAGTTAAACGTGTGATTATATGGATATTTTTTTTTTTTTTTTTTTATTGCCCTTGTAGGCAGACGAGCTTACGGCCCACCTGATGGTGAGTGGTTACCGTCGCCCATGGACTTCAGCAATGCCAGGGGCAGAGCCAAGCCGCTGCCTACCGCTTAATACTCTCCACAAGCCTCGTTTGAAGAAGGACATGTCATAGCGCTCGGGAAACACCGTGGAGGGGAGCTCANGGACATGTCATAGCGCTCGGGAAACACCGTGGAGGGGAGCTCATTCCATAGCCGGATGGTACGTGGCAAAAAAGACCTCTGGAAACGCACTGTGGATGACCGCAGTGGCTCCAGGTAGTATGGATGAACTCTACTCCGGTGGCGGGCGGTGCGATGGTAAAAACGAGATACCGGTATCATCTCGAACAATTCCTCAGAGCACTCCCCCTTAGATATCTTCTGGAACCTTTATTATTTATTTTCATTTGTGTTTGATATTCACAAAATAGAAAAGTATTCCTCCTTCTTCTTCGTTCTTCTTGCCCTTACCCAGCTATGTGGGGGCGGCGCAGCATGTTCTGTTTTTATATTCAGGATTATCATGCAGCATCTCTGCACTCTGCACGCCCCTCACTCACGCTACCTTCTACTTTCGTACGGTATTGTAGAAGCATTGCTTCCTACCCACCATAATCCTAAAAAACAACTTAATTTGTAGATTTATGTACATCTGTGTCTACAATAATTACATAAAGTTCATAAGTAAATTTATATTTTTTTACATTTAATAATACCGTACTAATTTTAATTTCAAGCTGAACCACAACAATAAGGCATAATTATAATTTCTGAAAACACAGTTTCAAGCCCTAATTACAGCAATTAACACGATATAATACTATATTGCGTATTTACTAAGTATTGGTACTTTCAAATTACTACTGTTCTCATTTATTAACATTACATAAATTTATCTAATAAAAATATATGGCTAAACGCACGTCATTGGTTTTAAAAATAAAACTGTATTTATTCAACACCGCCAAAACCACCCGTTGGAATCGCAACTGTATCTTTTTCTAAAAGTATTTTATGCTTTATTTAGCAATACATGTCTGGCCTATATTTCATTTGTCATATTATGCATGAATCACGCTAAAGTGCTCGAACGCCGACAGCAATGGCAATTTATCGCGCAAAATGAATGTATTATTTTATTAAACACAAATCCCGGATGATCAGATCACTAGTTGTTAAACGCTTACACCGGTTTTTTTTATTGTCTTTGTAAACCGCCAATCCTGCGATACACCAAATCATTTCGCATTTCATTGCGGGCTTTTTTTTTCTACCTAAGCTGATAGCCTTGAGAGGCTATTTCAGCGTAACCTTAACTAGTAGGTGAGCTCACGGGGCTCAAGCCGGAGTGATGCTGACACTGACCCTAGCAAGAGCAGTGCTTCGCAGAATCTACCACCGGATCGGAAACGCGACCCACTGAGAAGATCCGGCGAGAAACTCAGTGGGCTGTGTCTATGGATTAATTCGCTTGTCGAGCCCTTCGTCGCAAGCGACAGGTTCGACGAGGACGGTGACCGGATTGCGGGCTCACAAATAATGAATGACTACACTGTACTGTTGTATGCTCTAATATGTACATTACAGTAATAGACTTTTGTCGTTTCGGCGAAGATAAAGTTTCTTCATTGACTAAGTGCCGTATCTAGTGTGAATTTTCCTAAATCGACTATTTATTTTTATAAATATGAAAGTTAACTGTGTCCCGCTTAATTTTATTTACTTGTGTTACCAATTAACCACATATTCCAATATAATAAACTTCACAATTCACAATAATATATGTGGTAATATTTAATTTTAATACAATATGTCAATAATATACATATTCAAGGTAACTACATAAAAAATGATCGCATTTACGACTCGTTTTTATTTGATGCCACGTGAAAGTTACATTTTAGCATTATTTATGATTAAAAATTACATTTTTATTGCATTAGTAGGTACGTCGCATGCGCGTTTGAATAAAATTTGAATCAAATTTCAATGAGCAAGAATTTTTATTTAGTATGTCAGAACTCTTACGCGGATCGTGGCGGATCGTGTATTTAGTATGAAAACCATTTCTAAATAATTTTTATTGGTGCCAATAATATTTACTAACCTGTAATGCTGTTTTTGTTTATACCATTTTAAATCTTCGAAGCCTTTTAATTAACCCACAAATATATGTAGAAAGAAAAAACAGGAAATTTATCGTACCTATACTAGCGACCCGCCCTCGCTTCAAAAACTGTAATTTATTATTGATTTCTCCACTATTTAATGGATGTTATTATACATATAAACCTTTCTCTTCAATCACTCTATCTATTAAAAAAACCGCATCAAAATCCGTTGCGTAGTTTTAAAGATTTAAGCATACATAGGGATATAGGGACAGAGAAAGCGACTTTGTTTTATACTATGTAGTGATGTTATCAGAGACAAAATGTATCCCAATATAGTATAATTTATTATGAACTTATTGTTACATTTTCTACCTCTAGTCAACGTTCGTTTCCTTGATTTTACTGTGGTAAAAAAAAAACATATTCCGACACTGCCACATTGATGCCCTAGCGCGTGCCCAAATTACATTAGTCTGTTACGTTTCTACACAATGAAAACATAACAGATGTTCAGAGAACGAAGACGAAACCTTGAACAATGTACCGCATGAGAAAAATATCAACAGCTTTGAATGGACTATAGAGAATACTCTGAACTACAGCAGGTGATACTCACACAGCTATCTACAGTATTTTTTGTAGTGTGTGTGTGTAGCCGCACACATCTATAATGCATATGGCGTTCGTCTTGTATCGCCCTGTATACGTGCACAACGCCCGCCCTTAAGCTAGATTGCAATGAGTACGATTACTGTGTTGCTCTACTTCCCAATTACCGAATTTCGAACGTGTTTTAAAATATTTGAAGCTAAAAAAATTTAGATATAATTTTTTTTGTAATGAGCGGGTAGGTAATAATTATAGACTTCAAACACTGCACTACTGTTTTTAAGTTAAATGACAGGAAGCACTCTCTTGTGACGAAGAATTTCTACCAAAACACCCCAACTACCTAATACACATAATGTGATGTTAAAACATGACACAAACCAGATACGCGTCTGAAGTTTACTTTTTGTAAACAAAGGTGTCACTTTTTGTCTTGGGTTGTGGCGTGCCGACGCGACGCCGCGACGCGACGGGTGTAAATAAAGTAGAGTATCGGCCATGCCCGTTGCATTTGAATGGAGGCAACAACTTTTTATGGGACCAACGTATTCTGTCGGCCCCTTCGCATCCCCGAAGCAGCTCCTTAGTTCTTTCTTATTCTTACGTACACTTGGAGGTACAACATGTGCTGCGTTATAATAGGAAATTTTGAATCAAATAAAAAATAGATCGTAGTTTATCAAGTCAACAGTAAATTGTGATGTGAGCATAGTTATGGTGAATTCTATGATTTGTGTCCCTAAAATTTTAATTCATGATTTTACTATGAATACAATCAACGTTATGTTAAAAACGGGCTATAAAATTGTTAAGGATTTAACTGAGCATCATAAACCTGTGAGTATTCTAGTGACAATATATTATAACTATATAGTCCGTCTTGTAAATAAAAAACACGTGTGCCGTTTACAACAGATAAACAGTTATTTATTACTTCTAGATGTATATTGTTCAAACTTAAAAAAAATGTTATAAAAAAATTATAGTCTTAAGTTATAATTGTAGTGTTTTTATTATAACTAAGTATCACGTACTAGCTGCTGCGTTATTAACTTTTTTTTTCCCCTACCTATTCTGATAGCCTTGAGAGGCTATTTCAGCTTCGCCCTAACATGTAGGTGAGCTCACGGGGCTCAAACCGGAGTGTTGCTAACACTGGCTCTAGCAAGAGCAGTGCTTAACAGAATCTACCACCGGATTGGAAACGCGACCTACTGGGAAGATCCGGCGAGAAACTCAGTGGGCTGTGTCTATGGGTTAATTCACTCGTCAAGCCCTTCGTCGCAAGCGACGCGGCGACGAGTTCGACGATTACGGTGACCGGAATTAACGATGTTAAGAGATGAAACGCTATGAATTTTGTTCACGTGTTGAATAAAATGTAATGTGCACTTTTTTTAAACAAAACAAAAAAATTAGTTAACATGCAACCAGGTGCATTCTTATGATAAGACTACAGTAAATTTGTTAAAGGTAAAATTATATTCAATTTATATATTTGTGTGTTCCCCTTCAAGATGGAAACATCTGGCGGTTCGGAGAGTTCCGGCGGTGACGACTCGGATGTTAGACGGTCTCGTCGCGGACACGTTCTAGCTGAACTAATGCAGACCGAGAAAGTATACGTGCAAGAACTCGGATCTATACTCTCTGTAAGTAGTCTTTCTGTAAGTAGTCTCTCTGTAAGTAGTCTCTCTGTAAATAGTCTCTCTGTAAGTAGTCTCTTTGTAAATATGAATAAAGACTGAAATCGGAAAAATAAATTTAACATTCTTTTTTTTGTTTTTAATTAAACTAAATGAGTTTAGAATGTAATAAAATTTTATAATCGAAAATTTTCGAATCACATTAGGGCACAAAACCATAAACAAAAAAACACGTGCGTTGCACCGCATTGAATCCGACAGACGCTTTCACTAACCACTAATGTATTCCGTTTAGAAAGTGAAATTGGTCATAGGGTACTACTGAAACAGACAGTGTTTCATGCTCGTAATTTGCTTAAAATGATAACATTGATCCGAATCGAAATTTAATAAAGCTTATGATGCGTATATAGGTATGTACGCATCGTCGTTACGCTAGATCGGTTGCAATGTCTATGTACCCTCGCCGCGCTCTAAAACCCAAACGTGCCACTACCATATTTCTGTTGCGTGTTCGAGTTACTGGTCACCGTCCCGATAGCAGTGAGCAATAACGACTTAAACTGACAGTTTTATATCGCTGCACCTATCTAGTGCGACGCATGTATCGTGATCGAAATGCGATGCGCTCCCGAGCGGAACAAGAAGCTCGCGGTTCGCTTCACGGCCGCACGCCATCCCAGTCAATCGGCTGCTATCCGTGCTTCACCACACTCTGCACCATGAAACACGGGAAATACGACCTGCACAAGTCTTCGCTCAATCTCAGCGTGGGAACGTCCTACTCGTGGTACTACAAAAAAAATGAAAACCCAACAACGCGGAAGAAGTCACGCCTCAGAAGGTCCGCTTCCGATTCGACGCTGTTCAGTGATTACGCTAATCAGTTGACGTTGTTTGAGAACGAGATGAATCGTAACAAGTGCAAGAAGACTGCCAGTGACGTGACAAAGAATACGCGAATTAAATTCAATCCACGTAACATAAAACCGGTACGAATGGAACCGTTTACGGGAAATTTCTTTTACGGTATGCCGTTACCGGGATACGAGAATTCGGAGAAGACTGAGGAGAAAATAATCTATTTACCGGATTCCGATATCGTGACCGCCTCTGAGGACACCGCGGCGGAGTCCTTAACGACAGCGGCGACCGTGGTTGACATTCCGGAATACGTAAAGAATCCAATTTACGGTTGTAATGAAGAAGACGTACACATTTCAACGCCAGATTACTCAACGGATACGTCGTTCTCTAAGGATTCGCAATTGAAATCGACCAGTTGCACGGAGTTACGAGATGCAATGACCAATGGTAAACCCGAAGATGTTCTGTCAAAGATCCTTCACGATTACAAGAAAATAATCAAAGAATGGAACTTTACGATCCAAGACCATTGTGGTCATGGGTGTAGTGGTGAATCATCAAGTAACAAAAGTACTAGCGACTTACAAAGCTTACATTCAACTGTTTCGTGTGGTATTCCTGACAAATGCTTGAAATATCTGACTGATAACCATTATACGCATGCATATGATACCAGGAGTAACAGAAGAAACCACAAAAGTACATTACAAAGGAAGACGCAGAGCCTAAGCCGAAACCAAACCTTTGGGAACTGCACAACAACGCTAGATAACTTCAAGAAGAAAACTATATATTGGAAAGTTGATAAAACTTCGGGATCGGAATACGACTGTTTACAAGCGATATACAAGGATTATGACCGAAGGTTGGAACAGTGGTGTGAAACTATCAGCCAGTGCTCATCCTTGATAAATTCGGTAAATCATTCTTGCTTGTCGAGACATTTACTGTAAAAATTATTAGCAATTAATTAATTAGTCTTCGATGGACGTTGTTATATTTCAAAAAGTAATGGCTGTTAACGATTGCAAATTCTTAAATGTTATCAAAATCAAACTTCTTAATTAATTAATATACATAATAAACAACTTCAAGCTGCATTTACAGTTTAATTTCGCGTTCTTTACTGCCATTACATATTATTATTATATGTGTATAATATACTATTGTCCGTAGTATTATTTCCTATGTTTCGGACGTTTTTTAACCTTTGTGATCAATGTCGACTGAAAAATAGTTTTAGTAATTAAACGATTTAATTTCAAAAAACGAAACCTCAATTAAAAAGTTCGATTTAATTGCAGGGGTATAAAGAAGAAATCGAGAAGCCAGAGAACCAGCATCTCCTGCCGCCGACGCTGGTCGGACAGGCGGATGTGTTGTTCGGTAATCTGCACGAACTCTTCACATTCCACCAGGATGTCTTCCTCAAGGACCTGGAGCGATGCATTTCCGCCACAGAACTCGTCGCTTTGTGTTTTGTTGAGAAGGTAAGCAAATGAACAACAATATTCAGAACTAATTCCTTAAATTGCCTAACGAATATAACGCTCGGCTCGGCTGACTCGGTGGAGCAGTAGTTAGCGCACATAACTGTTACACCAAGGGTCGTGGGTTCGATCCCCACATCGGGCAAACATTCGTGTGATGAACAGGTCTGTTTGCTCTATGTCTGTTTATTATCTATATGTGTATATCGACGCTTGAAAGGCAAACGTGACTAAGCGACAATGCGTGAACTTTACAGTAGACCAATTTAAAGTTGAAATACCTGAAAAAAAAAAAAATTTAACGAATCTAGCTGTAGGATTGAAATAATTTTAATAGACCTAGAAATATTTTTTTTTGCGTATCGAATATGGTTATTGCCTGTCATTTATGTACAAAGCAGTTATTGTCGCTTAGTCACGTTTGCCTTTCAAGCGTCGATATATTTAAAAGTGTATTGGTCGTTCTGTGGCACCCATAATACAGGGAATCCTTATTTGAGGTTGGATGAACGTATATATTCGTACCGAGTCCCATGATTTTTGTAACACGAAAGACTTCCACGGTGATCGAATAGGACGTACTTTGAATCAGCATAAACATTAACAGTGCTTATTTCTGCGACCAAGCATTCGTGGGTTGCAAGGTTTGAAGGTTTGAAGGTTACGAATAAACGATTGAGAATTGGATCTTAATGTTTCATGGAGAGTAGTGTTATTCAATATGTCTTTTGTCGTTTCCATAAACTTATTCATACAACTATTTTTACGTACTCAACAAAAATAAGATTACAGTCATTGCTTGCTTGATAAATTTTAGTCATACCCAGTATCTTTGTAGAAGATTTTGTATTCCGTGTTTTAGTATACTTGTACTTGCATGTACATCTGGTATCCGCAACGCAATAAAAAATCCTAACTTAGGGCCATTGAATAAGGATTTTTTTTTCAATTATGTAAGTAAATAAAATAATTTAATTACTAAAATTAATGTTCATAAACTTTTTTTATTTCTTTTTGTACCCAACACCAAGTGTTATTTGCCACTTGTAGGTACGTGACTCGTGTGATTTGTTAGTAGGAGAAAATTATTAGGCGTATCGAACGTACCAATGTTTAATATATTCTATGCATGTATTATAGTAGGTACTAAGAAATATTATATATAATATATACTGTAAAAGCTGAGACCTTAGAACTCATATTTCAATGTAGGTGGTGGCATTTACGCTGTCGTCGTCGTCTACAAACCTAAGCAAAAAAAAAATACTATAAACTCAGGCCTTAAGGTAAAGTACCTAAGGTAAGATTAGGTAGGGAAAAAAAACAACAAAGAAAAAAAATAAAAAAAAATAATTAATGTTTTTTTTTTATATTCGCGTACAGAGGGAGACCTTCTTCAGACTGTACAGCTACTACTGTCAGAACATCCCTAGATCGGAGAGGTTGCGGGAGACGTTAGTGGATACGCATCTGTTCCTCCAGGCGTGTCAGCTGCGGCTCGGACACAAGCTGCCGCTGGCTGCGTACCTCCTGAAGCCGGTGCAGAGGATCACTAAATACCAGCTGCTGCTAAAGGTTCGTATATTGACGATAAAACTCGACATTCAGGGGCAAACGTTAGGATGCAATATAATTGTTAAGAGTTACGTCAAGAAATCATTATTGTTAACACTGATAAGAATTTTATTCATGAATCATCCGGTCACCGTCCTCGCCGAAACCGTCGCTTGCGACTAAGGGCTCGACCAGTAAATTAACCCATAGACACAGCCCACTGAGTTTCTCGCCGGATCTTCTCAGTGGGTCGCGTTTCCTATCCGGTGGTAGACTCTGCGAAGCACTGCTCTTGCTAGGGTCAGTGTTAGCAACATTCCCGACTGGAGCCTCGTGAGTCGACCTACACGTCAAGGAGAAGCTTAAATTGTCTCTCAAGGCTATCAGCATAGATAGGAGAAAAAAAAAAGAATCATATCAAACATTTTAATTAATTTAATGGAAGACCTCTCAATATGTTCACAATGATATCCAGAAGTTACGTGCTTCCTAAATTCCTGCATGAGAATGTTATTCATTCTTCTTCTGCCTCTGACATTGCTGCGGTCCAGGAGCGGCGGTGCCTACTTACCGTCAGGTAGACCGTATGCCCGTGGACCTATGACGGCTAGAAATAAAGTGGTATTGTTGTTTCAGGATTTACTCCGGTACAGCGAGTGTGGATCAATGACGACTGGCCTCCAGCAGGCCTTGGACTGCATGCTCGTCGTATTGAAATGCGTGAATGACTCCATGCACCAGATAGCCATAACCGGAGTCCCTGTGAGTGTTCAAGTATAGAAGTGTATTTTTTTTTAACGTTTATGTATTTTGAGGAACATAGTTCGAACTAAAATGCTACGTAAAGGTCGCGATTTTTAGTACTGAGGAACACGATGCAAGAAGGAGGTATTTTTAAAGTAAATTAAAAGTCAACAATGAGTAGTATGAGTACCTATGTCTCACTTTCGATTTCGCAATATGATAAAAATATTAATAAAATGTATATTGCCGACTACACACACACGCACACACACGCACGCGCGCACACACACACACACACGCGCGCGCGCACTAACACACACACACGCACGCACGCACACACGCGTGCACGCACAAACACTNCGCACACACACACACACACACACACACACACACACACACACACACACACACACACACACACACACACACACACACACACACACACACACACACACACACACGCATAGCATCTAGCAATTTCATGTGCAGCGATTTGCAATTTAAATATTGTGAAGCACGTAAGATATCTTTGTGCTTTTTTTGTTAACTCTTACTATTGTTTTAAAAATTTCTACAAAGCTAGCCGCCCCTTTCGTCACTTTTAGAGAACGCGTGATAAAAAATATCTAATCTATTAAATGAGATTTTTTTCCAAATATGAAACTTCACCTTCAACTTCATGTGCAATATCTTCTTTTGCTAGAGCTAGTGTTAGCCACACTCCCAGTTTGAACCCCGTGAGCTCACGTATACGTCAAGGAGAAGCCGAAATAGCCTCTCAAGGCTATCTATCAGCATAGGTAGGGAAGAAAAAAAGTGGGAACAAATTTTTGTACCAACTACAAATTATGACATCAATATTCAATTACTAGCTGAACCTCCAGACTTCGTAGTGCCTCAATTGAGAAATAAAATACCTCAACTTTTGTATAAACTTAAAACAAACAAAACGAATCCATCCGACGGGGGACACATCAAAAGGAAAACAAAATGGTTATTTTTATTTAATTCCAAGTATTTTCATATTTATCTACCTTTTAAACCTTCTCTGGACTTCCGCAAATAATTCAAGACCAAAATTAACCAAATCGGTCGAGCCGTTCTCGAGTTTTAGCGAGACTAACGAACAGCAATAATTTTTTTATATATATTCAATTATATAATTTTGTGACCTTCCAGGTGGACTTGAGTCAACAGGGCGAACTCCTGATGCAGGGTTCGTTCCTCGTGGTATCGGAGAACAAGCGCGACCTCCGCCTCAGGATACGGCCCCGGCGACGTCACATCTTCCTCTACGAGAAGGCCATGCTGTTCTGCAAGCCTGCCACAAAGAACAGCCATAATAAAGCCACTTACCACTTCAAACACGATCTGCTGGTAACACTTATGCATCTGTCTTCACTAATGAAATTACATTCTAGATATCTATGACGTGTCTGTCACCTACATATTGACTTAAATAGGCCTTGGCCTCGGCATTACATCACTGCATATAGTAGTAGTTGTGATGTATGAAACATTCCTTATATCGTCGTTGTCAAACCAAAATCTGCTATGTGCCCTTTTTGTGATTTTTACTTTTTGACCTTTCCGTATAGTTCACAGCCCTATCTACCGTATAAAAAAAAAGTGTCTATTATAGATTTAATATTTATCTATAGCTTTCATTTGATATAGTTCTTAAAAATTCACTTTCATATAAAATTTTACACGAAAATGTTTTTACTCGTTAAATATTCAAAATATACTTTTTGCACATAGCAGATTTTGGTTTGACAGTGACGATATTCTATGACAACTTACTTAATATAAACATAATAATATATAAACTAAGAGTCTATCAAATATAGGGAAGTATTATTCGGACTCTCGTTGGTTTCGTTTCAAATATATACCTCCGGCGCAACACCCTATATGGCGACCCTGCCGACGAAGTCATCTTGCGCGTCGCGAATTTAAGTTTTTTTTTTTTTATGTGATAATGAATACAGTGCAACTTTATTGTTTTGTCATATCACTCGTACATAAGACAGTAATAGGAGTCATAGGGTACCCCGTTGGTACCTACAGTCCTCTTGCGCTTGTCCTTAACATTCACTGCATATTGGCCTTACAATATTGATAATTCATTATGTAAACTTCTAGACAATGTGAGTCAATAACTTTTTTATTGCGTAGATGGGTGGACGAGCTCACAGCCCACCTGGTTACTGAAGCCCATAGACATCTACAACGTAAATGCGCCACCCACCCCGAGATATAAGTTCTAAGGTCTCAGTATAGTTACAACGGCTGCCCCGCCTTTCAAACCAAAACGCATTACTGCTTCACGGCAGAAATAGGCAAAGTGGTGGTACCTACCCGTGCAGACTCACAAGAAGTCCTACCAACAGTAATTACGCAAATTTTAATTTTGCTGGTTTGATGTTTATTACACGACGCAATTCCTTCACCATGTAAGTCGATCGTAAACATTTGTAGAGTACGTATTTCATTAGAAAAATTGGTACCCGCCTGCGGCATTCGAACACCGGTGCATCGCTCAACACGGATGCACTGGACGTCTTATCCCTTAAGCCACGATGACTTCTAGACTAATATTAAAACCAGACGATAATTTCCTTGCAGATGTCACAAATAGGGCTTACGGAATCCGTTAAGGGCGACCTCCGCAAGTTCGAGGTGTGGCGCCAGGGCAGGTGTGAGGTGCACACGATCACGGCGCCCACGGTCGAGGTGAAGCGCGCCTGGGTCGAGCGGATCAAACGGGTGCTGCTCGACCAGCTGAAGGAACTCAAGGGCGAGCGAGTTCGACAGTACGGACTGCAGCATCACAGGTACTGTATGCGCGCGAATTTATGTCCATCGGGGCCAGAGGCGACGCGTGGGAGACAGCTCGCTCCACCTTCGCCCGCCTCCCCGCCCCCCCGTCGAGTGTTGTCCTTGACGGCTGTGACGCGCGCTTATCGATATCGAAAATTTACGCTAACGCTATTGTGTTATTTAACCATAACTACTCCGCTTCCAACAAGTTCAGATAGAAAGAAACCTACTGAAAAAAGATACATACTGATTCCGACTCTGCTCTGTCGGTTGTCTTCTCATTTGATAGTGATTGAATTGGAATTTAAAAAATATTTTTCTCTATTAGAAATAAACAAGTAATTACTTATCACATTTATTTTCTTTCATAAATTGCAAAATGTCCTTAAGTTATATTAAACCAAATTGACAGCTGTTGACTAAATCGGTAGTTATTATCAACATTACTATAATTAACTAGGTCCAGCACTACAGCATTCCTCAGGCTGGACATGTCCTCGCGCGCCTACTGTAGTTAGATCTAGTTGAAATAGTTTAATATTTCGGTCGTATTAATGATATTGCATCTAAAGCTTTCCCAGGGAATACGGGAGATCGTTGACCTTGTGCATCAGCTGATTCATTAATGTGTACATTTCCTATTTTAACAGTAATCGTTTTTAATATATGTATAAATATTTTAGGACATGTCTGTCTATTTGTATGTTCAAACAATAGGCAAAAACCCCTAAATCGTTTTTGTTCCCCTTTTTAAACTATAAATATGGTTTTCAGTTGTTTGTTTCTAGTTTTGGTTATATTTAGATACTCCGACTTACTGTACTTGTGACGTCTGATATCATTCCTCTTGATTCCAGAACACTAATCCAGACGAGCTCGTGGGAGGTGTCGGGCGCGCAGCCCCGCCCCCAACCCCCCGCCGCGCCCCGCACCGGCTCGTGCGACGCGCACGACGAGCCCTGCTGGTCCACGGACCCCTCCGACGACGACGACGACGACGTCGAACACGCACCGGTAAGGGACACCTACACACTAAACTATTTGACATTAAATTAAATCAACAGTCCCTAAAAGTTCTAGACAAAGGGCTCATTGATTGATTGATTCATTGATTGATCTGACGATAAACGGTAATAGGAATTTTTCAGAGACTTCATTTCGTAACATTGTTTTATGTCTAACAACTTTTTTTTTTGTTAGTGGTAAAATATAAGGTAGCGCATAATTGGAAAATCGCGCTACTTCTCTCGCACGCCCAAATCTTTAAGCTACTCACGAAATATTTGTGGAATACGAATATTGTGAATTAATAAAATATTGAACGGTTTTTTTTTCGATTTTAGTTTTGGAACATACCTTTTTTTATACCCAAACTACAAGTCAACTTTTCTATTTAATGAATGAGTTAGATAAAGAAATAAGGACAGAATAGGGGCTGAGAAAGTAGTAATTTCCGATATCTAGTGACCAAAATATATTTTCCGTCATAGATTTTAACAGTGACTGTAACATAATAAACAGGCAAATACAAAACCTTTTTTATAACTCTATATATCTTTCAACCATGTTTTTTTTTCTTAATTTCTAAAGTGACTAGTTTCCCTCAGTTTCGGTCATAATATCACATAGATAGATAGATTTAACTGAAATATTTAACGCGGCTATGATCATTAGTGCCTAAAAATTGAAAGAGAATGTCGTCTTTTAAATGATTTACGTATGTTTCCTATAATATAATATAAAGACCAAGTTCTAAAACTAAGATCATTTTTATTCTACACACTTGGTTATGTTTCGCGGGATTTTTTTTTAATTGAGACAATTTGAATTAATTTGAACGAAAAATGCTCTTCGCAAAACTTAGCTGCCTCCGGTTTTTATTGTGACAAATAGAATACAAAAAAAAAATGACACATTAAAGTATCTGTTAAAATCCTTTGATCTAAGAAGACATCGGGGAATTGATAAATTCCTTGAATAAAAGTGCATTTTAAAATACTTATTGGGCAACACTGTAAATAGATAATGCCTGACAATACAATCACTTTGAGTCAAATAATGTTCTTTTTTTTTAAATTTATTAACTGACTTTTAAATCAAAGTAATTATTACTAATAAGTTGATCAGCAGGGGATCGGAATAGTGGCGAAGAAATTGTGTACATTTGTATAATTCAATGTTTAAGTACATTTTATTACTAAATATTAAATCTTGAATTTTAAAAATCTTAAATTAAAAAATAACTATAGTTTCAATTAATACAAATTAAAAGAATATTTTAATCAATTTTAACTTTAAAACATACAACACGTATTATATGTAGATGTACACTTTCTTCTATAGAGATGGGATAAAAAAAAATTGTTCTAATCTAATAATCATTATTAACAAGCTAAATTTATTGGTAATCGTCAATCACATTTGTTTGTTTGTGTACGTCTTAAACCGTTAATTACTGTGGATATAATGGGATTTTCATAGTGTATTTAAATGTTGTGCCAAAAGTCTTCATGTGTGTTCAGATTACTAACATAGTAGAGTAAGTAATCCGCTTCCAAAGGGAGTGGGGTAGCTTTGCTAAATACCCCATTTAACGCTCTGTAATTTTGGATTGCAGTGATGAGTGAAGTGAGTTCAAATATATGTAAGTGTACAGTGTATTTTATAGGAATGCCAAACGACTTATCACGGATAGCGCATGATGAGGCTGACAACCCTGGAACACGATCTTCTTCCACAAGGCCAGGGCCAGACTTCTCTGTTTTAAAAGAATTAAGTAAATAAAAGAACTGGCCCTGTTTATGCTTCACTATCCCGGCTAAAGCTAATTTTATCCTAAAAGTACATTAATCCGTTAGAAAAATACAAGATATCTACCACAACTTTCTTGAAGTTTTACACTATTACCCCGAAACAGTTAAGATTCACGCTGATGCAGCTTAATAATTTGGTTTAGCCCGGCCATCCATCATCGCTTTTTTTTTTGGTTCTAAAGAATGAATTAGCAACACAAACATAGATGTTTATTTAGTTTTGCACATACCATATTGCACCGCAATAACTCAAAGTTGAGGTGTAATTTCGAATCGACAGCCGCCATCTTGACGTAGCTATTTCTACAAAATGGCGTCTTGCTGTATGTTGTGTTGTTCAACAGGTGACGGAGGCCGTCGGTCTCAACGGTACCATCCACAGAGTGGTACAGTTCTTTTCGGTATCGGGCTCTGCGCAAGCCACCTCCACGTTTTACGTATCCCAATACTGAAAGTTAAATACCTTTACGCGAAGTAGAGGTCTTGTATATAATGAAACAGACTGAGTTTATGTCCAAAGCTTAGTGCGGTAACCAAAGAGAACGTGGATATTTCGGTTCTATTCGCTGAACATTAACTATCGTGTAAGTTTATGTTTTGTTATGTCTCATTGTCAGTGTGCTTTGATTATTTTATGTTGAGTAATGCGCTTGCNATACTGAAAGTTAAATACCTTTACGCGAAGTAGAGGTCTTGTATATAATGAAACAGACTGAGTTTATGTCCAAAGCTTAGTGCGGTAACCAAAGAGAACGTGGATATTTCGGTTCTATTCGCTGAACATTAACTATCGTGTAAGTTTATGTTTTGTTATGTCTCATTGTCAGTGTGCTTTGATTATTTTATGTTGAGTAATGCGCTTGCTTCGTGTATTTTAAACAAAATCACAGTCAGTATTATTATTTTCCCAACTGTCGTTGTCTGTGAACATACAAACTAGGTACTAAGTATGTTTAATTATAATACGTATTATTAAATAATATATATTTATGATACATTGAAAGATTTTTTGTGAAGCATCAAGACGTCTGTGGTACTTACTATAAACTATGAAGAATCTTCTCACGGTATTAGTTACACAAACCTGATACATTGTCAGGCAACACTGCAGCTTGCATCATTCACTGAGCACCGCTTACGACGTGCTGTCGCATCTAATTGTTTTACTCTGTGTTTCGTCGATATACTGCCCAATAAATCTTCACAACAAATAAATTTCTTAATAATTTTATCTAGTCTACTTATTTGTATTGTATATATTATCCTTATGAAATTGTGTAATAAAATCTCAATTTTACTAAAGCTACATATATGTAAAGTATTTTTTAAACACAAACCTTTTGTTTATTATATTACCTGTATTAAATATGTTTTATATAAATTTATTTATAAGATATAAATTATATGATTTATACACTCCAAGAACCTTGTACACAATACGTGTTTTAAACGAATTTCAACTAAGGGCTCAAAACTAACGTGCATGTTGACTAATTATAAATACTAATAATTGTACTTCAACTTCTGAAACTGCATGTACTGTGTGTGAAACTAAAATGCTAGAATTGATGGTAGCACTTTATGAAAAGTATTCAGATTATTTTAATCTGGTTTAACATATGTGCGAACAGACTGTTTTAGGTAATTGTCTGTGGTGATAAAAAACCAAAAGTTCTGCCATCTGTTATTGTTTATGGGAATATATAATACTGCGATAAAATTGGATCTTATAACCAATTTATTCTACTGTAAATAGCAGGTAAATTGGCTTTAAGATCAATAAAAGATAACTAATATTGAATTTTTCCTCTCACGAATTTGCGTGAAAAGTATAAGTTAAATATGTAATCTTAATTTCAAAAGAGCAGTGTTGTACAATTTCCATAAATTTTACTAAAACGTTATGCATGTATTTGAGTAAGTAAAACCTCTATTGTGTTGAAATAATTTTGAGATAACTTACCGTAAAAAAATGCGACATGATAATACTAAGGCTCTAAAATGGCATTAACAGACCCGAATTTAGTAACGATAATTTCACTTTCAAATACCTGAATGTATAGTTAATTTCAACAACAGAAAATTATTGTTTTGTTGTGATTGAAATATATATATTAAGAGATGCGTACAATTGTAAAGGGAGTATTTAAAACATTAAAACAGTGTCGTATAATGTGTTGGATTGTTTAGGCGGTGGGATGTGGACTGGTGGCGCTGTCCGACTACACAGCCGTGGGACCGAGCGAAGTGTCGCTGCGAGAGGGACAACACGCTGAACTACTCAAAGTCGGCTGTGCCGGCTGGTGGTACGTGCGGCTTGCAGGTACTAAACGCATTCTATTTTTTCCTTGTTAAGCGACCAATAAATGACACATAACTGTTTTACAGCTGTTGATGCTTAGAATAGCCCACAGTCTACATGACTTTGTTTTTTTTTTTGTATTGCTTGGAACCCATCCACGGCGAAAGAACAGCATCGTGTAATAAAAATCAAACCCGCAAAATGATAATTTGCGCGTAATTACTGGTGGTAGGACCTCTTGTGAGCCCGCGCGGGTAGGTACCACCAACCTGTCTATTTCTGCCGTGAAGCAGTCATGCGTTTCGGTTTGAAGGGTGAGGCAGCCGCTGTTACTATACTTGAGATCTTAGAACTTATATCCCAAGTTGGGTGGCGTATTTACGTCGTAGATGTCTATGGGCTCCTGTTACCACTTAATACCAGGTGGGCTTTGAGCTCGTCCACCCATCTAAGCTATAAAAAATATATGCAATAATTGTTGTGCTTGTGTACAGGCGGACAAGGCGAAGGCTGGGCTCCGGCAGCCTACCTCGACCAGCGCAAGACGTCGCGCTCCTCCAGCAGGTCGCACGACCGCCTTCATGAGCATTGAACCACCACACCTTGCGTTACCGACTACACTACCTGTCCTTGTTACTCTATAATAAGTACCAAAAATGTCACTGTCAAAAAAGACTAACCTAGGTATTTAATTGGTTTATAGCTGCTAACTATATGATATTGGTATTCATCTCTGCTTTCAGTATTACTTGAGATCTAAAATGTAATTCACCACCATTTAGTATGAAACTTATTTAGCAATATCCAATGTCTAGCGTTAATTTTGTAGGACAGTAGACGGTGTTGCCAGGATTTTTCGGTGAGATCAAGTTTTGCTCAAGCTTGTTCATCTCGAGCGACTACTTCTCAGTAGTGGCGGGAGATTAGTTACTCCCTAGAATTTCCTGGTTATGCCCGAATCACAATGAGACTTGTTTTCCCGACGTAGTCCCATCCCACTTGTTAATGTTTATCGTCAAGCAATTTGTTAATGTGTGTAAATGTTGTTCTAAAAAAGCTTTATTGTAAACTAGTGTTTTAGCCCCTTTAGCCATAGTCGTTACGATTATCCAAAGTTGTGTTTTAATGGCGTCGCGTAGGACCGTGGGACCGGATCGGTCTCGTCATTTTTGTATATATCAAATCGACATTAAAATTAATTTTAGTTATTTATTTTGATGGCTTTCGGTGTTGTTTCGTGTAACGTCTCGATACTCCATGACAGATTATGTGAACGAGAATCGATTTCAAACATTTATAATTAATTATTAACGTCCCGTGTGATATTTTCGTGAGAATATCTATAATGTTATTGAATATAAAACGTTTTCAATACATCAATCCATTTTATAATTGTGTTTTTTACGTCCATGAAGTTTTTTTTTTTAATTCATAGTAGTAAGTAGTACGAGACATTGAGTTTGTATGGTGCCTCGATAATTGTCTTTTAATATTGTAGCAAAGCCTGTGGTAGCAAGTAATCATTTAATCATTTCATATCATACGTTTTTGTCAATATTGCTTTATTAATCGTTAAAATTGTTCGTTTATTGTTTAAAAATTAAAAAGCTATAAGCATGATTTTTACTTTCGAATAACAATATCTTATCTGTGATGCATTTGTACGTACGATGTCTGATGTAATTGACCTTGAATTCTCATATCTCATTATTAATTATTATTTAAATCCACGATTGTGCATGACTTTAGCTATATCTATGTTCATACACGTAGTGACATGTTTGTTTATCAGAAATTAGTTTTAAAATGTGTAGATTGAAACAACATAAAATACACAGAATTTGTTCAATTACTTTGTTTCTATTTTATTTTATTACCACATTCTAGGTTCATATTATTTATATCATTTTATTTTATTACCATATTTTTTACTGGTGGTAGGACCTCTTGTGAGTCCGCGCGGGTAGGTACCACCACCCTGCCTATTTCTGCCGTGAAGCAGTAATGCGTTTCGGTCTGAAGGGTAAGGCAGCCGTTGTAACTATACTGAGATCCAGAACTTATATCTCAAGGTGGGTGGCGCATTTACGTTGTAGATGTCTATGGGTTCTGGTAACCTATTAACATCAGCTCGTTCACCCATCTAAGCAATAAAAAAAAAACATGTGTTCTCTCAGATCCCTGTAATGTCATTTTCATCTTTTACTTTTGGTTTTGCACATTTTAACAAAAACACATTTCTCTGAACTGTAGGTAGTTACTCCCTTTTTGATGTTTTGGTTGCTGTCATTTTTTTAATATTATCCAATACCACAAGAAAACCATAAACCAACCTTTTTAAAATTTTAAGCGGCTGTGAATGTTTACCGGTAATACCTAAATTTTGTAAAATTTTTAATCCCCCTTGTCGAAAGTTTACTCTTTACAATATTGAAGGCTATTTTAGACTAATCGATTTTTGTATTCATTTTTTCTGATAGTGTACTTTGGATATGAATCTGATGATTACCTACGTATCTGTAAATTAGGTGTTGAATGCATGGGCTTCGCGCCACAGACGTATGCAATATGTGTCCGTAACGCCTAAACCTAATGTAACTATGTTGTGATTGAACCTGAAAAAGTACAATGGCTAAGGTAGTTAAAAAAAAGCCAAGTGCAATTAAAACAAAAAAATACCCTGGTAATACATAAAATAGATCGAAATTTTATAAAAATTCGTAATTAGGCATAAATTTTGTAGCTTTTACGGAACTATATAGTATTCCACTTTTCGAATAAACTTTGCAATACGGTAGTTAATGTAGAACTTGTCTTCATTCAAGTCTATATCGATATTTTTATCGGACGAAGAAACATTGAGCGCATTATATTCAAATTCCTGTTCTAATTAAAACGTGCCTTAAGATCCAACACAAGGCGTTTTACACCGATATTTACATACAAGACCCATGATTATAACATGCGCTTGATATTCTAGAACGGATTGAATAAGCAGCAGAATAATGGCACTGCTTGTATTGTAGTAGTCATTTACTTGCTTAGAGTGAAGTAGTCACTAATAATACTTAATATTAGTATTAAAATAAGATGTTTGTTCTAACCATTAAGGTATATTTTGTCCAAAATAATATCAAATGGCACGGTTTAGCGTCGATTAATATTCTGCAAGAATGAGTGGCGTTTACCCAGAGAATTTAAAATATGATAGTCCGTTCGGCTATTTGTTACAAAGTACATAAAGGTATTTATGCGTACCCAGTTTCTGAGTATCTCGAACTAATAAGTACCTTAACCTCTCTCCCAATTCAAATTCCCTCCTAATTCCTATCTTGATTAGGTGCCGGTGAGGCGTGTGGTATGCCCGCTCACTTTGGTAGGTACACTTGAGGCCGTCAAAGTGACCTAACTCACAATTCATGTTCGTGTTTATGTATTGCAATTTATTTAATAGGTACATAATAAATGTTGATGCAAATCGGCTTATCCCTAGTTTCACACAGATAACAGATGCCTTTGTAAACATTATTTTTGCGTGTATTTTTTTTGCCGGCGAATTATTGTAAAAGTAAATTCGTACCTCAATATCTCCATAATAACCATGATAGGCTAAGGCCACTTTTGCGCTGACGGCCTCATTTGGTCCTGGATACATTTGCCGCGAATCAATCATGCATTCCGATTTCAAAAGTAGACTATTTTTCATTTCCCGAGAAGGAATGTCGCAGCTTGGTTACACCAACGCTAAGATGTAAGTACCTACTACGACTAGGTACATACGAGCGACTGCACCTGGTTATTTATATGTGGTATCCATCCACAATCAGAAACTAAGCCATGGCTTTATGATTCGCTGTATCCTCAGAAAACAACGCTAAGATTTTATAATGTTGTAAGTAGTTTATACATTTTATATTTACTAGCGTTACGACCCGTTTGATAATTTAAATACCGAAGTCTATAAAATGTCTACTGACACTTTGTTGACGTAAAATCGAAGACCCCATTGCATTGGATAATTGGCTATCTCAAACAACCCAATCGGAATACATGACTGTTACGTGGCAAAAAACAACCCGTGGGCTCACAATTTACGTAAAATTTATTCTTGAACAAATGTTCGTACAACACACAAAATTGGTTCTTGTTCCGACTTGGAGTCACTGCTAGTCGCATGACTCGATAAGAATATACCGAACTTTTAATTTAATCTCTTGGGTCAATATTTTTAATGTTCAACAATGCAGCGTCATGTACTCGGAGTATATCTGACAAATCCATAAATGTATGACAGTTAATGAATGTGTAAACCGCCTTCCTTCGAGCTTATAAAACTACTTATCAAAATGTATCGCAAACAAAATCATGTTAATGGAAAAATCTAAATAAAAAACTGAAATAAAGGTTGTTAATTGATTTTTCAAATTTTTTTGTTGCTCCAATTATCGAATTGTCAATAATATCATTAGTTTTCTCTTGAGATTCTTTCCGATCATGGAGGTCCCATTATTTTCAAACAAAAAAGCACAAAGTTTCGTATACTTGCTTTCTTTAATAATATAATGCGAACGCATGTCAGCATTTTATGATTTTTTACTCGTAAGGGTCAATTAAGTATGTGTTAAAAATTAATATTTCTTTGTATGCTAAGCTGCTGGCAGAATGCTTCTATTCCTAAGGCATTTAGTAGGCAGCGGCTTTGCTCTGCTCCTGGCACTGCTGACGGCCATGGGCGACGGTAACAACTCACCATCAGATGGGCCGTATACTCCTCTGCCTACAAGAGCAATAAAAAATAAATAAGTAAATAAAAGTCATTCATCCGATTTTCATGAAACTTAGTATAGTTGGCGCTCCGATATACTGGAAGAATCCGCACACACAATCCACTGAGTTTCTCGCCGGATCTTCTCAGTGGGTCGCGACTACGATCCAGTAGTCGATTCTGCGAAGTGCAGCTCTTGCTAAGGCCCTTGCGCTCGCCTCAGGTTCAGTGAAGCTACTCTAAGTATAACCCTTCGCGAATACTAGCAGTAGGTAAGCATAATAGATTTTTTGAAGAATTGAGTACTATATAATATATACTAGCTACAACCCAGGTTTTTTTATTGCTTATGTCGATAGACGAGCTCACAGCCCACCTGGTGTTAAGTGGTTACCGAAGCCCATAAACATCTACGATGTAGATGCCGCCATCGACCTTGAGCCATGAGTTCTCAGGTCTCAGTATAGTATAGTAACGGCTGCCAACCCGAAACGTATTACTGCTTCACGTTTGAAATAGGAAGGACGGTGGTACCTACCCGTGCGGACTCAGAATAAGTCCTACCACCTGTAATTACGCAAATTATAATTTTGCTGGTTTGATTTTTATTACACGATGTAATTCCTTCACCGTGGAAGCCAATCGTTAACATTTGTTGAGTACGTATTTCATTAGAAAAATTGGTACCCGCCTGCGGGATTCGAACACCGCTCCATCGCTAGATAAGAATGCACCGGACGTCTTATCTTTTAGGCCACGACGAACTTCAAGTTTTGGAACGTTGACCTACACGACGACCTGGGCCTCGATTCAATTCGGAAATATATGAAGTCAGCGTCGGAACGATACTTCGATAAGGCTATGCGTCATGATAATCGCCTTATCGTTGCCGCCGCTGACTACTCCCCGAATCCTGATCATGCAGGAGCCAGTCACCGTCGACGCCATAGACACGTCCTTACGGATCCATCAGATCCAATAACCTTTGCATTAGATGCCTTCAGCTCTAATACTAGGGGCAGGCNAGACGTCGTCAGCGGCTTTCGATGCATCGACGCGCCAATGTAGACCTTTCCTCATGTAATAGTCTACTAAAGGAACCGTTTGAGCATGATATGTAGCTAAGCGTTTCTTCAGAGCCTCGACATTGTCGTCGGACCTTTTTATCAAAGCTTCTCCGGTGACATCGTCAGTCATTGGTTTCTTCGGCGGGTGGAACTCTTCGTGATAGCTACGACCACTAGGTGGGTGAATCAGTCTGCCCGTAATTCTCCTTACGAGCAGACTGTCCTCGATTCCGAACTCGATTACGGCGTCCAGTGCAGTCTTGCGCTTCGCCAATAGATCGTCCAACTGAAATTTTAAAATGTATTCAGTTGAAAATCTTTTTTTTTATTGCTTAGATGGGTGGACGAGCTCACAGACCACCTGGTGTTAAGTGGTTACTGGAGCCACAGACATCTACGACGTAAATGCGCCACCCACCTTGAGATATCAGTACTAAGGTCTCAGTATAGTTACAACGGCTGCCCCGCCCTTCAAACCGAAACGCATTACTGCTTCACGGCAGAAATAGGCAGGGTGGTGATACCTACCCGCGCAGACTCACAAGAGGTCCTACCACCAGTAAAAAACTGCTTTTGTTCATAAAAACAAATTAAAGAAGAATAGAGTGGTATTGTATAATGGGAATGATCTCAATGCCTGTTTGGTCTATCTATGTCAAAATGATACTATGGTGAATACCACCAGTGTTCTTAAAGCATTCAGTGTACCTAAATCAGAATATTATGTTTAACAGTTAACTCATCTTTCAAATTACAACGTTTAACAGCGTGGTGACAAAAAATACGCATTGGTTATGACTACCCGTCAGGGCCAAAAAAATCCGCCATATCATAAATAATTTGGAGGCTTGATTTATTACGCAATGTTATTTTTTTTCATTATGGAAGTCGAAGAAGATTTGTTAACACTTAATTAATACACTGTAATTTATAATTGATTTCTCCACTATTTAGTGGATGTTATTATACATATAAACCTTCCTCTTCAATCACTCCACACACTTAAAAACCGCATCAAAATCCGTTGCGTAGTTTTAAAGATTTAAGCATATATAAGGACAGATATAGGGACAGAGAAAGCGACTTTGTTTTATACTATGTAGTGATATTGTGGTAAGGCAAACGATTTCGTAACATAATCTGCCTTACTGGAGGACATGTGTGGATGGCCGAAAATGTTGATATGTCTAGTTAGTCGGTATAAAAATATCGTCAGAATACTATGCACTATAGCAAGTAGTAGTAGCTGAGAAGGTCATAGTTACGCAANTCGGGTCCCCCTCATATGTCGGTCTGGGGACCGGCGAGGGGAACCTAAGAAGACGTCGTGCAAGCTGCTCTGCACGCGTTTTACGCAAGAGCATCCGGGTGATGGAAGGCCGGCTATCCTCGACCCACGCTGGTTCTGACCCAGCGGGGTATTCCGTAGGATAGCTCACTCTAACCGGCGCCATCTAGGCGGGCTCCGGATAGCCTGCCGACCGAGAGGGCTAGTGGTCGTGGCGCCGACGACCGCCAGTCCGGCGTCCCGAGGGGGAGGGTGATGGGAGAGATGTGCTCCGCACTAAGCACTTCACTTTCTCCCCTTTGCATTTTCATGAGTTCTGTCTCATGTGAGGTTTGGACGTTGGTTGTTGAGCGACAGGAGGTTTTAGTCGGAAGAAAAAAAAAAAGGCTTGAAAGGAGGCTTGATTTATTACGCAATGTTACTTTTTTTCATTATGGAAGTCGAAGAAGACTCGTTAACACTTAATTAATACACTGTAATTTATAATTGATTTCTCCACTATTTAGTGGATGTTATTATACATATAAACCTTCCTCTTCAATCACTCTATCTATTAAAAACCGCATCACAAGCCGTTGCGTAGTTTTAAAGATTTAAGCATATATAAGGACAGATATAGGGACAGAGAAAGCGACTTTATTTTATACTATGTAGTGATATTGTGGTAAGGCAAACGATTTCGTAACATAATCTGCCTTACTGGAGGACTTGTGTGGATGGCCGAAAATGTTGATATGTCTAGTTAGTCGGTATAAAAATATCGTCAGAATACTATGCACTATAGCAAGTAGTAGTAGCTGAGAAGGTCATAGTTACGCAAAGCATATATTCCAACTAATAGCAATAAGGCATAATTTAAGGCAGTACTTTGGTCTAGAAATGAGAAAAAATCTTTTTTTTTTTTTCATATTTTCAAAGTTTGAACCCTGAAGAATATTTACCTATAAGGATTTTTCAAGTGCGTGGGGAATGGTTTTGAGAATCGAATTACACAATAAACGGCAGATGTTGCAGGACGACTTGTGAGCTCTTTCTTTCCAGGAATTCTTTTGTACTCGACATAAACCTTTATTTAATCTATATAAACACCTTTATATTTCTTAAATATCTTTATACATATTATATATACCTGGAAATGTATAATTCGAAGGTCATAGTGTTGAAATTGTGTAGGTATCATTTACAATTCAAATTGTTAATTATTTAGCTGTTGCCACTTTTAACAAAGGTTTATTTTTATCGATTTAAAAAATTATGGAACTTATGGGCATCACCGTTGGTACTGAAGCTCATACATTTTCTGTCAGCCGTAAAGATGTTCGAATTGATCGCTCTGAACTGCGAACTTCTGCTGCTTCAACAGATGTTGAACAGCTCGGTTAGCAAAAAGAAACTTCGCAAGAAGAATTGCATATGAAGTCGAAGAAGGCCCAATGTATAAATCAAGGATCATAGATTAATCGAATGTTAGTATTAAATATTATTAACCGAGTTATTCTACTGGAATTGTTTCTCAAACATAAAACGAGTTTTTCATGAATCCCAGTTTTTTTGAAGTGGTTGTCATAAATCTGAATTTCTATCCCACCGATTCCTTTGAAATTTGGTAGAAATCTTCTTTTTATATCTCCCTATCGCGTTTGCCTTGGATTTTAAAAAATTTAAATTTTAAGTCCTTTTAAAAAATTCGAAAGGTTCAAAAAAGGGGTTAATTTTTTTTAGCTATGGTCTATGCGGTAGCTACATCTTTATTGATTGAGAATTTATGGTAAAATAGTTTTTCATTTTTTTTATCTTCGTTTTTTTTAATTATTAAATGACTGCAACACCTTTGGCATTGATTTTGCCAATGCCAAGTATACACAAAAATGACAGGTGCTTAGAGGAAAAAATCTTAGTTTTAAAAATGTCTAAAATTTAGGCTTCTAAACCAGAATACCGCCTTAAAAGGAAGTAAACAAAAACCAACACTGAAATCATTTCCCAAGAATATCTTACATAAAATCGTTAAAATCTGACATCTGACCAAATGATGACACACTAAAAACTGTAATTTAAAAAACTAAAAATCACTAACAATGAATACTTCTTCCTGGTCGACTGGTCGGCAACCTCGTCAACCAAAAAGCCAAATATAGATAACACAATTGAAATTTCTTCAGCCATTTATTAACATATTTTTAAAGCCTTGATAAACTGTTTACTGGTACTCTTATAAGGCAAGACAATAAGTAATATTCTGTGCCTGAACTAAAGATTCAACACAAGAGCCATGCCACATGCGGCACCTATAATACAGATTGCCGACCACTGTCCTAGTTAAATAAAACTAAAAAGGTAAAATTGATTTTTAAGTGTGGACAGTTTATTCTACAAAGCAAGTTATTAGGGTTATTATATATTTTAACCAATAATTTGGAAATTAAATGAAGTTCAAAACAATTAAGTTTGATTGTAGAAAATATAGTCCTTAATATGTTTACTGAATTTCAATATGTTCAATTTGTTATGAAAATTGAATATATTGATGTAAAATATATATAAAATGTTTTGAAATATTTTGGAATGGATTAAAATCATCATACACACAAAAAAATTATTAAAAGCTATTAAAAAAGCACACAAATCCTGTGCTAGGCTTTTTTACATTGGCTTTTAATCTGCCTCAAATTGCATTTTTATACTATCTACTAGCCATCAAACTAACAAGTTCTTTTGTTATATCCACTTATTGCCTTGATTTTTCTAGAAAGTGAAGAAAAGTATACCCGACTTTAAACACATACCTTCTCAGCCTGGGGTACAGTTCTAGGGAATCCATCAAGTAAGAAACCATTCTTGCACTCAGGTTGATCCAAGTTCTTGTCAATCATATCAACCACCATTTCATCGGAAACAAGTTTGCCCTCATCCATGACCTTCTTAAGGCGTCGTCCCAGGTCTGATCCCGATGAGACTTCAGCACGCAGCATGTCACCAGTGGATAGGTGACAAACACAATACTTTTCTTTCAGACGAGGAGCCTAATGATAATAAACAAGTTCTCATGTATTTCAAAAATTGAATAACTGGCTTCATTATTGAATTTCTAATTTATATTTCTAATTATTAAATACTAATCATTAATTAAGTATTTATAATTATTAGCCTCAATGATACTTAAGTAATAATCAAATATTCACTATTAGTTATAATATGAGATAAAGAAGGCCAAAGTTCAATTAAACCACATACCTGAGTCCCCTTACCGGATCCAGGAGGGCCAAGTAGCACGGCCCTTATTCCTAAAGGATCCTCATCAGGTTTTAGTTTCGTGGCTGCAGCGGCCGGTGCCATATCATCAAATTCTTAAGCCTTCAATTAATTAGAGCCCTGTACAGACAAATCTGTCAAAGTTAGAATTGCAGAGGTGTTGTAACTACGTTTAGATATGCGTAAATTAGCACGTGATATAGTAATCAAAAGTTCAATTGCAATTTACATGATATCTTAAAAAATTATCAAAACTTTATAAATGAATTTAATTCCACTCACCGAAATAGCCGACAGGCAAAGGGAAACAAAGTCCATAACGAAAAAATTATAAGGTGAGAAAAGGTCAAAGCCATACATATTTAATTCAAAACAAGTGGATTAAATAAAAATAAAAACACTTAGAATGAGGTTAGAACTCATCTCGAATTTAAATAAAACTGTAATTAAATCATTGGTGAATTTTGTGAGGAGGCTCCAAAGGACTTTTTGAAGTAGCGGAGAAGTTATTTTTTTTATGAATTTAGTTATTAAAATTTTAATCAATAATAAATTGTTTGTATTTTTTATTTTCATGTTAATCAAATTGATTTAATTCTTTGTTTAACAGACGAAGCTCAATTGTTTTAAAAATATGAATGACTTATGTACTCTTTGCCTCTGAAATCGATAAAAAATATATACTTTGACAACAATAGTTGCACTTGACATTAGCATCATAGCCTCGCATAACCTGAAAATGAAGAGGCGGTAAATATTTATACGAAACTGTTTTCTACAATTTCCACTTTTAAAATTTTATTCTGTACCTAATATATGTCAAACCGGCTGGTCGTACTAGTTCTGTACTGCAATCAAGTTAAGTATGACAACGAGTAGTGTAAAGTAAGTTTCGATCGTTAATTTTAAGTATTTAGTTTAAGCATTTCTGTATTTAACTACAAATTTCAGTTATTGGAAGAGGCTATGGCGCTGGACAACTTCGGAGAGTCTGACTACAGAAGAATTGACCAAAATTTTTGATACAAAAGAAGTAAGAGATGGACTTAAAATTGGATTGGCTAGTTACAAACAAAACAAGCCTGAGGACTTTACCAAACTTCAGTCACAGTATCCGGATCAAACAAAGCTGCTCACTATAGTGCAGACACTTCAAAATTATATTGTGAGCTGTTATTTCAAATATATTACATTTAATAAAATATTTGGGAATTTCGTTGTGTGTAATTCCTGTAGTTTTCAGTTAATAATACTATGAGTTTTCTTGCAGGATGTCGACTGTTTTCAATTATGGGAAATATTAAAAAACTATTTGTGTGATATATCATATGGTACACCCGAGAGTGCATTAAAGAATGTTGCATTTGTTGACACCCGACCTACATATTTGTCTCCCAAAGTATGGAGCTTCTATTATTCTGAGCGACTCTTTCTACTCAAATTGCTTCAGTACATCATTCAGCTTAAAGATGATGCTCAATATAAATATCAAAAGGAATTCACCAAGATTATTGAAGATATTGGCATACAAAACATTAAAACCTCACTCATATCTCAATTTGAAAAGGTCTTAAGTGCTGCTCCACCATCTAGAAAAATATTGAGTGATTTTTCTAATGATTCTGTGCGACACACTTGGTTAGAGAGTAATTTGAGAGAACAATTAGCAATACTTCAAATACTCTTAATAATTGCGGAAAAGAACACATTTCAAGCTGAAGAATTCAAAAAATTGTTTAATTTGTTCATAAAACACAGTTTTGGGAAGAATTATGGGTTCAGTGAGTTCCTGGGAGAAAGACACAGAGAGCAATGCCTCTGTATTATGTACATGGAAGTTTGCCTGTTTATGGTCATTATTGATCATGTGAAAATGTAAGAATTTGGTGTAAACATTGTAATTTATTTTTCATTGTTTTATTCAATTTATTTTTCGCACCATATATAACATATTGGTCTGTTATTCACTTTGGCTTGGCTGTTGATGTCCTCAGCAATACATTAAGAAGTTAGGATAGGTATTAATAGGAGGATTTAGACAGAAAATTTCATAACTACATAAAACATGCATGTGAAGTAGCATTTAAACAATACTGATAGATATACTTAGTGAACATATTTAACATAAATCTATTAAACATTTCAGTGATAATTTATCAACATGGATAGAAAATACGAAAGAAGTTGTAGAAACTGAATTGACAAAAATTCAAATGTGTACAGAACATAGTGCCATGCTTTTGACGTGGATGCTGGTAACGTTGCAGGTATTTATCCGTTTTTTAATTAAGGTATTCATCATGCAAAGCTTACTTGAAGGTTTAGGTGCTTTTAGGCACTACAAGCACCGGTCACCGTCCTCGTCGAACCCGTCGCTTGCGACGAAGGGCTCGACGAGCGAATTAACCCACAGACACAGCCCACTGAGTTTCTCGCCGGATCTTCTCAGTGGGTCGCGTTTCCGATCCGGTGGTAGATTCTGCGAAGCACTGCTCTTGCTAGGGTCAGTGTTAGCAACCGGTTTGAGCCCCGTGAGCTCACCTACACACGCTAGGGTAAACTGAAATAAACTCTCAAGGCTATCAGCATAGGTAGGAAAAAAAACCAGAAGGTTTATAATCAACGTTGCTTAAGAATAATATTGTTGAAAGAAAAAAACCAATAACTGATTTTTATGTCACAGCTAGGCAGAACAAATGACAAATCTTTTTTAAAGGATTTATGTAGTGCAGAACTTTTACTATCTTGTAGAGTTCTCATGACATTCGTTACATAATAATATAAAATACTTACTAAATATATAGCAAGTCAATGACATTGATTTGTAGAAAATAGCCCTATAATCTATACCAAAAAGTATATTTACACTACTCAGCAAGGCTCATAAAATTTTTTGTTGAACATTGTGTTATTGTTACAGAGTGATCAACATGTAAAATTATTTGAAAGCCAATATCAACATTTTGGCAGTACTGCAATGAAGATGAAAGTGTTTGAGTTTCTTCAACAGATGCTGAACAGTCCTGTATTCTCAGTAAGTATTCATTCACACATTCATTACCGTAACCCTTAAAATATTTTGTGTTATTTCATATCTATTCTGAATTTTCAATACAAATTATCTAACATAAGATTAAGATAAATGAAGGTACCTTTCAACGTTTTATTTGAACTGCTTATTCATTTTGGTTTGGTAAATGTTACCCTTAACAAACAAGACAAAATATAGGTATATAAAGGAAGGTACTAAAATCCTGACTTGATTTTTTCACCGAAAATTTGTATTTTCATATAAATCGTCTGTCTATATATCTGTATGTTTGTCTATCTATCATGATCATTCATTTAGGACAGCCTTTCCCAAAGTAGGCGATAACGCCCCCTTATGAGCGCTGCAGGCCTAAAGGGTAAGAGACCCAAAAAAAAGGGGGCGTTGTGTAGAGGCTTGAGAGGTGATTTGTAATTTCATCTAAGACGACTCTTAGACACCAACTGTGCTCTCGCTATAGTGGTTTTTAAGTAGGTGAAAAAACGGGGGCGCTAAAAAAGAATTTATTCTCAAAACGGGCAGTAGACAAAATAAGTTTGGGAACTCCTGATTTAGGACCATAATTTATGAACATTACACTATAGCGAGAGATTACATACATTAAATGTAATCAACCTTGCAGGATCAATCAAAGTGCTCACAAATAGCTAAACAAAGAATGTTTAATATTCTCAACGAGCTTTGTGACAAGTTTGATGGAGACGGAAGCCTCAGCAATCAAACTGGCATTATACAGCTGTGTTCAGACCTGCTTCAGTCACCAGAAATAGCTTGTCAATTCTGGAAACTTCATCAGAGAGACAAAGACTTTGGTGTAGTGTCATTATGGAATACTGCACTAGAATATTTCCCTCATCATTTTAGTCCTCTCTCAAATTTAGCTGCTGGCTTAGTTCAAGCTGGTAAGAACAGCGTCAGAAATGTAAGTAATTTTAAGTAATATTTTTTGATTTAAATTGTTAATAGCATTTTTAACTAAAAAAAATAAATAAAAAAGTTGAATCAAGCATTATGAATCAAGACGAAATCCTCTTGCTCAGATATAAATGATACATAACGTATTATTATAAAAGATTACCATTTTGGTGTGTAACTTATAACAGGCAATTATTTTGAACAAATATGCATTTTTTAAACTATAGTTATTCTGCTGCACTTCACTCTAACTATTGTAGTTTATTTATAGAGTAGTATATGTTTATGCATGATTGTTTTTGATAAAAAGGTATTTTCATAAAGCATTTAATAATATTTAAATTGGGAATGTAGCTAGTGATAAAGGTAGTTCCGAAATATTGATAAAAGGATGCACATAACGGAACATTTCATCCGCTATTTAATTTTGAGTAATCAAAAGCTTTGCCTTAAAGTCTGAGAGCTTGTAAATATTAATTGCTATGTCATTTTACAACGAATGTCCATACTGTTTTCACAAACGGTTTCTGGATCGGTTGCACAAAATTATGTAGATAAACAAACATGGAAAGTTGCTGCAGCCAATGTTTTAGGGGGGATACCACTTTGCTAAAAAATCTCGTTCAGCTTTGGAGTCATAGGATCGTATGTAATATGTCCCGAATTATTAAAGTTATTTATTGACTTATAGCATATTATTAATAGTGCTATGCCACAAACTTACCATCAAGTAACATTTGTACTGAATTGGATAAAGAAGATGCCTGTGTATTAGCAACAAAAAACAAAAAAAGCATACAAATATTGATTATACATGGGATAGTGTATTATGCTACTAATATTAAACGTGATATTTTGTGAGAATTGTTACTCTTCCACTCAAAAATTATTAGACAGAATTTGATGAAACATAACTTTCCACATCAGAACAGCACATAGTGAATATTATAGTACGATCAATATACAATAGGTGGCGCCCAAGTTAAGGAACTGATATATGTATTTCAAATAACTAGCGATAGACACAGTAGGACTCGTTTGGTTTTCACCAGCAACTAATATACAATTTTAAATGATTACAGCTAATATCTGAATTGAAAAATTTACCTGTATACGCGGAAATATACAATCCAAACGCAGTACCACTGGTATCTATACAATACGATGACGCTATAGTCGGCAGAGAGTACTACCCTCTGGGAGATCCGTCTTATCGCATTGAAACTGGCTCCAAAGCCACAATCATGGAAAGGAAGGAAGGCACCATGATCCACTTCAGAACACCTTATTCATATTGGACGGTGTTCAACAGCGATATAGAAAAAGCCTTAGACAGAAAACATCATCAGTACAACGTCAATGCGATATTGCAGAGAGTTTTTGAAGGTGCGAGAGTATTAAAGGGTGTACTCAAGTCGCTGGTTGAGGAGAAAGAGATCCCAAAGGCGTTGGTAGAATCATGTGAAGGAGTTTTCGATGTACTAGTAAGGTTTATGAGGGCTGATTCTCCGCCTCTGCTACTTTTGGTGGAATGCCTTGAAGTATGTTCTGCGCTGGTGCCAGTTTTCCCGAAAGAAATTCATTTAAGGTCTGTAATTTACATTTTTATTTAATCAATTTTCAAAAATAATTTCTTGAAAATACCTAATAGCTTTTTTTTTTAAATAAGAAATGTTTTAGACTTCCCTTAATATAAGCTTATTATCTCTTATCTTAATATAATAAGATATTGTTTATTTACTAATACGAAAATCTCAGAAGTGTTAAATTTTATTGTTAACAAAAAAAAATTGTAATAAATATATTTTTCAGATTGATAAACGCAGGTCTGTTACCACGCATCATGAATCAGAAACTGACGCATATAGAGTATGCCAATGGCGAATCGTTTGATTCAGCTACCGTTGGATCCTATTTAGTTGCACTAGAACAACCTACAGGAACATACAAGTTCCTATCTGCGTATATTGATATGCTTTGCACTTTTCATGAGGTACTGAGAAAATTGTGATTCGTATTCGTAGTATTAAGAGTTTTAATGGTTTTTTTAGTAATATCACAGAAACTATTAAAGTTATAACTATCAATCAACCTTGGTTCATCCTCAATAATCACTCCTAAATAAATTTCACCTAAATCGAAAGGGGCCAATCTAACCTGCAATTTCTGTTCTATAAATCTAAAATAAAACACAAAAAAAAAAAGTGTGTGTGTCCGCTCCGACGCACGACTGGAGTTTACTGGATATAAATAAAAAATTAAACGAAACAATACGAGAAATAGTTCTATATTACGACAACACGATACACTACAGATTATTAACAAATTAACGAGACACAAAACAAACGACTAACAAATATATGAAAATACAATAATGAGAGAAACGCGCGATCAGTNACTTTGCCTTCTTTTGTTGGTTAATATGGTATGGTATGGTAAACTAAACCAGTCTTTTAAGTTGCTTAGAAATAGATTCATTCTCAGGATCGTTCGGATTCGTCTCTCCCAGAGTCTACTAGATATTCCGGCGCCCCAGTAAGAAGAAAAGAAGAAGAGTAGAGAAGAGAATTACTTCAGTGCGCCGCGTAGGGCACCGGTGACCTACACGGCAGTCAACGTGTTAAACAATTTTGTCATACACTATAGGTCTTTAACTAATTTTGGAGGGAGCTTATAACAGTAACTATTTCAAAACAATAACAGGCATCGACCGAAGAACGTGTTACCAAAGAAATAATTCTGCCCGGATTGATCCTGCTACTGCGCGAAGTGTTGCCAAACGCATACGGCTGGCGCTACACGAACATACGGGACCGGCGCGCCATGCTGCAGCGCTGTATGCGCTTCCTGACCTTAGTGTTGCAAGACCAGAAAACAGATGGCAGCACCGCGCTGTTGAAACGGACCTGTGTGTATAGTTTACTGCACACTGAAAACGCTTTGGTGCTACTCAAGATTATTTCACTGGGTGAGTTTTTATTCTCCTTTTTTTTACCTAAACTGATGGTCTAGAGAGACCATCTCAACGTCGCCGGGCTAGTAGGTGAGCTCACGGGGCTCAAACCTGACGACGTTGCTAACACGAACCCTAGCAAGAGCCGTGCTTCGTAGAATCTACCACCGGATCGGAAACGCGACCCACTGAGAAGATCCGGCGAGAAACTCAGTGGGCTGTGTCTGAGGGTTAATTTACTCGCCGAGCCCTTAGTCGCAAGCGACGGGTTTGACGACAACTATGACCGGTGCTTGGGGTACCTAAAAGTACCATTAGTGGATTGGGAGGATCCGAGATGACGTGTTTTTTCCTATCTATTCACTGGTAGCCTGGTAAGGGTATAAGGAACTGGGTAAAGGATATTCCACTGGACCGCGGATAGGTAGGTGAGCTCACGGACACAACCTGGGAGGGCTTGCTAACACTAGCCTTTTGCAAGAGTAGGGCAGTATCTACCACCGGATCGGAATAAATTGAAATTTTAACTATTTTCATTAATTTTGTTACTATCTGTACAGAACAAAATATGAAAATATATGTATATAATATGTTTTATTTAAAATTTTAAGGAAATGAACATTTAGAGAACATGATACAAAATGAAACGAACTGGTCATCCGGTACGGGTTCACAGTTTATATCGATAATACAGAGGTGCGTGGCGGTGCTCATGTTCGCTTTGCGTCTCAAGAGTCTCGTCACGGAATCCAACGAGATGACGCCGTTGGAACATCTCATATTCACTCAGAATAAACAGAAAGATTCATTGAAAGTTGTACCCAAAGTGACAAGTTATATCAATCATGTGTTCAACAAAAGCTTGGCCGTGTTGTGCTGTAGGCTCTTGAAGATGTTTGCCGATGTGAGTATTATTATTTTTATTTAAAATCCAAGCAAAAGTGAAGTTTCATTTTGATAAAAAGGACATACACATACATGCTTAAAACTCGAAAGTCGAACTAGGAAACTGATTATAAAAGCATAAAAAGAAAAAATAATAATAATTTAATATGTATCATAATTTATTTGTAAACTGTAAAGTTTTGTCACACTCTTGTTACTGTTTGATCGCTTGGTTAGTAAATCCAATTACTGTGTCCCGGTTCTATTCTCGATCGAAGTCGGTCTCTTTGTTCCGATATAATCAATCCGAATCATTCAAGTTGAAACTGTCATTGGTGTGGGACTTAATAAGTTTTATTATTATTTTATGACATCAATACTATTTTATAATAGACTAGCGACCCGCCCTCGCTTCGCTTCGGAAACATTAAAACACACATGAAACTAAAAAAAAAAAAAAATTTTTTAAAAAAAGTAGCCTATGTTCATCAGGGACAATGTCAGCTTCTAATGGAAAAATCATTTTTCAAATCGGTCCAGTAGTTTCGGAGCCTATTCGAAACAAACAAACAAACAAATCTTTCCGCTTTATAATATTAGTATAGACTAGCGACCCGCCCTCGCTTCACTTCGGAAATTTTTATTTATTATTGATTTCTCCACTATTTAAAGGATGTTATTATACATGTAAACCTTCTTTTTCATTCACTATCTATTAAAAAAACCGCATCAAAATCCATTGCACAGTTTTAAAGATTTAAGCATACATAGGGATATAGGGACAGAAAAAGCGACTTTGTTTTATACTATGTAGTGAAGGAACATAATTTCAAATTGATGAAATTTGTTTTTACACAGAGTTTCCAGATGTCGTTGTTCGCGTCGTTGGACATGACCGCGTACCAAGTGCGGGTGTTGTTCCTCGATCGACTTCGCGACGAGTACGAAACGACAGAACTAAAAGTGGCCATACTAGAGTTCGTGGCCACGTGCGTGGGCACGCAGCCCGGCCTCACCGAAGCGTTCTTCATGATGAACTACGAAAAAACGAATGACGATAAAAAACTCAAGGAAACCGATAAAGATAAGGAGGAAAACCTGTACAACTACGAAAGCATCCTCGGTTATATGGCGGAGTACTTGGGAACTGTGAAGGCTGTAAGTCATCTTCTTTGTCTCCACCTTATCCCACTAGGTGGGGTTGGTACAGCGAAATTCCAGTCTCTTCTATCAGCCGTCAAGTCAACACACACTCCTCTCTTTCATATCGTCATTCACACACTCCATCCATGTCTTTTTCGGTCGACCTCTTCCCTCTCTACCTGGCACTACCACTCTTACGCGTCACATGTCCATACCACGCTAACAGTCTGTAAAAGGTTATAAGTCATCGTTGGAAGTCATTTATCAGAGCAGCAAACAAACAGAAGTAGGTACCTACTTACAGATTGATTCATAATTGTGTCATTATTATTTCAGGATGCGAAACAACTTCAAAGTCCGCTCTTAGGGTGCATAATGGGTCTGTTCCATGCTCTATGGAAGAACAATATGCAGATTCTTGTGAAAAAATTACGCGAAACCGCAACATTTTGGGATTACATGACCAGTCCACTCTTCAGTGAGATACAGCCCGGCTTGAGAACTTATTCGCAAATATTCAACGTTATCGGCATAGAACTATTCGTCTCTCGAGGGAAAATAGAAAATGACTTGAAACTGATGCTCGAGCAATTGTTTGATACCAACAAAACCCATTTGGACAAATGGATCAACCATATATTTTCGTTTAAAGGTAGAAGCGAAAATGAGCCTGTCGATAAAGTGCCGGTCTGGCTTGGATTGTTAACCTCTTGGAAAGATTTCACCACGATATTTTGCAAAACCTTACCGATAAGTTTGAATATAGCGCACAAAGCGAAAATGGTCACCCCCTGCATGACCGCCTTGTTGAACGAACTCGAAGATCTGAAAGACGGAAGGCTGGTCGTTATGTTGGCCGAACTGTACGTCATAATGTTGGCCAATTGGAGCCACGATTGCTTTGAAAACAGAAAAGCCAGTGCCAAACAAATCGATCGTTTATTAACCAACACTGCGATTATATACGAATGCCTCCACCCGAGGGCCAAAAAAGCCATCCTCTCCATCTGCACAGTCGCGATCAGCGGTCTCGATTATGAAATAAAGGCTAACAGTGCCACCGCGCAAAGCATTATTAGATCCGTGACCAATTTAAATAGCGTTGAGTTGGAGAAATTGTTTGACGATTTCAAGGATCTTCCTAAATCGGACACGAAGACCACCGAGCCCTCGACGTACGAGGACGTATCGCCTGTCGTTCTATCATTGGCGATGTTGGAACAGTGTCTGGAGTTGTACGACGACATGTTCTCGGGACTATCGCAGTGGTTCCAGTCGAGTCGATTCATAAACAAGCTCCTGTGCTGTTTGCAGATGTGTTTACAGAGCCGTCGCCATTACCAGACGTCTCTAGCGGCGTTACGGTGCCTCACCGTGTACTCCCGAGGACCTTTCTCTAAGGAACTCTTGCTGAGCGATATCGACCAGTTTTTATGGATGCAACTGTTGCCGCCGAAATTCGACGGCGTAACTTGGAAGCCCGAAGAATGGTGGAAAGTGTACTCTTACAGCTTAGACTTTATATCCATGATGGTCATGAAACACGGTCAGTTCTTTGCGAGTGACGCGATCACATTTGTCGGGGTCCACTTGGAACATTTGATAGAGGCCATAAACCTGCCACGACAGGTCGTCAGCATCGATTCGTTAAATGTATGCGCGTCCGCGTTGAATCTTATAGTTCAATTAGTGAAGTACGAATCTAGATGGCGCTTACAGAACATGCATTCGCTTTTTGGTATTATGGTGAGTATTATTGATAAGATTATAAATTACTAGTTATTATTCGTGGCTTCATGATCAATGAAAAGGTTGCCGGAGTCATTTTCTTCACATAATTAAAAAAAAACATGTCAATCCGTCGCTTCGTTCGACATGGAAGAAAGACCAATGAACACAAAAAAACACTTCCATATACCTTTCCATTACTATTCCTATACCTTTCAATCCATTTTTCAGGAATTGATTAACGTAAATGCTCTAGTTGAACAAAGGTTATTTTTGTAAGAAATTAAATCCGACCCAATATTTTTATGTCAAGTGAAATACATTTTTTTTTTATTGCTTACTAGGGTGGACGATCTCACAGCCCACCTGATATTAAGTGGTTACTGGAGCCCATAGACATCTACAACGTAAATGCGCCACCCACCTTGAGATATAAGTTCTAAGATCTCAGTATACTTACAATGGCTGCCCCACCCTTCAGACCGAAACGCATTACTGCTTCACGGCAGAAATAGGCGGGGTGGTGGTACCTACCCGTGCGGACTCACAAGAGGTCCTACCACCAGTAAATATGCATAACGAATATTTTCATTACATAAATATATATTTATTTTGAACAGAGAAGTATAAGCGCGTGTCTGTACCAATGCGTGATATACATGATCCGATCGCGGCGTACCTCCGACGCCGCGCAGCCTCCAAGCGACGACACCCCGCCGACGCCGTCCTTATTGCCAAGGTAAAAAATTATAAACATTTATGTTATTTAAAATACTTTAAACAATACCAAGGAATTAAATTTAACATTTAAATACAAAATGATTGATCACGTTAATGATAAGAAGACAAAAATTTCACAAAAGCCATTCTACGAACTGATCAACAGAGGCATCGAGTTTTTTTTTAAAATACCAACCCGAAGAATCCCAATGCCTTCGGAACATTTGCAGGGAAAATCCTTATTGGGTTGGGGTGGTTGGAGTGCCGTGAAAAACATTACAACAAGAAAAATCAAAGCTTTTCTTTCAGGACCTTAGAAGTTCTCCACATGTCGACACTGTGCTTGCTATCGTTCAGTCCCAATCTGCTGTCATTGCTCGCTGACCCCGGACTAGATTTGGAGAGATGGCAGCCATTAGTTGAACTACATTTCGGAGCGCCTAAGTTGTCTTATGAACCATTCCCTCAACTAACTTTCGGTACATTAGTGTCCGCCATCTGCTTGTTGACGAGATCATTGAACCATGTAAGTTGTTCTCATATTTTATTTGGTTTTTTTTTCTGGATGTATGTACAAGATTGCTTTCGTTTTATTTGTCATCGGATTCAAAGGACGTACTCAATAGGACGTACTATTTAATATAAGCAGTAAATAAAATTTATTTGCTAAATCCATACACAAACTGCAACAGTGAATAGTGTACTCTACACACCATCTGATTTACACTATTAGAATTGTAATTAATCCAACCATAAGACAAAATGACCTTTTATTTATTGTGCAGATTGGTGCAAGAGCTCAGGGCTCTAGCGTTAAGTGGTAACTGGAGTCTGAGGACGACAACATTCATATGCGGCCATCCACCTTGAGGCAAGAGCTCGAGGTCTCAATTGTAAAAATACCGACTGTCCCACCTTTCAAATCGGAATGCATGATTGGTTCCATCAGTAAAACTACCAAAAAAATTTTTTCATCGAGCGCCTGTCCTACCGATGTTTGTATTAAAAGTTTTCTTGGAATATCATCTATAGTTCATTATTGACCTAATAATATTAGATTGAATAAAATTTTTTATTGCTTAGATGGGTGGACGAGCTCACAGCCCACTTGGTGTTAAGTGGTTACTGGAGCCCATAGACATAAACAACGTAAATCCGCTACCTACCTTGAGATATAAGTTCTAAAGTCTCAAGTAGTTACAACGGCTGCCCCACCCTTCAAACCGAAACGCATTACTGCTTCACGGCAAAAATAGGCAGGGCGGTGGTACCTACCCGCGCGGACTCTCAAGAGGTCCTACCACCAATAATTACGCAAATTATAATTTTGCGGGTTTGATTTTTATTACACGATGTTATTCCTTCACCGTAGAAGTCAATCGTGAACATTTGTTGAGTACGTATTTCATTAGAAAAATTGGTACCCGCCTGCGGGATTCGAACACCGATGCATCGCTAGATACAAATGCACCGGACGTCTTATCCTTTAGGCCACGACGGCTTCATACCACTATATGATCAATGCTCCGGTCATCGTTCTCGTCGAATCCGCCGCTTGCGACGAAGGGCTCGATGAGTAAATTAACCCATAGACACACAGCCCACTGAGTTTCTCGCCGGATCTTCTCAGTGGGTCGCATTTCCGATCCGGTGGTAGATTCTGCGAAGCTCGGCTCTTGCTAGGGTTCGTGTTAGCAACGTCGTCAGCTTGGAGCCCCGTGAGCTCACCTACTAGTTAAGGTTACGCTGATATAGCCTCTCAAGGCTATCAAGCTTCGATAGAAGAAAAAAAAAAGCTCCAATAGTTATGGTGTATGTTGTTCCCAGGCGTACCACGCGGAGGAGAGCAGCGGGTCCCGGTCCCCGCGCGGCGGGCGGCGGCGCGTGTGCTCGTGCAGCAGCCCCGCGGAGTCCAAGCGGCTCAACCGCAGCGAGTCCCTCACCAGCGTGTCCTCCGCCGCCAGCGCGCTGCCCGGCCTGGACGAGAGGCTGGTCGGCGGCGCGCTCGAAGCCACCACTACGCTGCTCGCAGAACAGGTATCCCATATAAATATATCCACAACCCTAGAGTAGATATTCAGAGATGACCAGATTATCACTGGTGGTAGGAACTCTTGGGAGTCCGCACGGGTATGTACCACCACCCCGCCTATTTTTCCGCCGTGAAGCAGTAATGCGTTTCGGTTCGAAGGGTGGGGTAGCCGTTGTAACTATAAGACCTTAGAACTTATATCTCGAGGTGTGTGGCGCATTTACGTTGTAGATGTCTATGAGCTCCAGTCTCCAGTAACCACTTAACATCAAGTGGGCTGTGAGCTCGTCCATCCAGCTAAGCATAAAAAAAAAAAAATTAGATATACCCAAAAACTTAGGGCTACTTTTTCCAGTTAAACAAAGTTCTAGTAATCGGATGCCACACGCTTTAAAGTATGTCATCATAACAATAATCGCGTTCTTAAATCCGACTTATTCTACAATATATAATATGGTAAGATTTAGTTTTTCCTTTTTTTAATTTTTCCTTTTTCCTCGACAGGCGCTACTTGCAGTGCGCGATCCGAATGTCCCAGCTCGTCACAAGCAACTCGTCCGCCGGGAGCTCTGCTCTGAACTAGCTCAGTTCCATGATTTCGTCCGCAAGAGAATATTGTGCGCTGCCCATGCGCGCCCGCACCTCGTGCGCAACAAGCTTGGAGCTTGGCCGCTCCCTTCAGACGAAGAGGAAGTCAAAAGGATCGAAGAAGCCAGGAAAGAGGTTAACTCCGCCGCCGACGATGAAGACCAGCGCTCGTTGCCTCCGCCCCCGCCACCGAAACGAGCATCACACGATTCTATGCGCGAATACATTTTACGTAAACATTACTTAGAAAAATGTGCACAAACACCCACAAAAGGACCGCCGTCTCCCGTCTCACATTCGACGCCCGCGTCCGATAAAAAGAAAGAAACATCCAGAAGCTCGAAACGGGTTTCTTGGGCGGAAACTACCAGGGACAGCGATGAAAGCTTAGACAGCTCTCTCCAAGAAATAGAACCGGTCTATTCTAATCTCACTGATGTACAAATTAACAATGAAGAAGATTATTTTCATTTCATGTCTGTTGTGTTTCTTTACATTTGTCAAACAGAATTGTGATTTAACTTCGAATCAACTTGCATTAAATCGAATTGCTTTTCTTTGGCTGTTTTATTTTATAAAAAATGGTGTGTAAAAAATTAAATCGTAACTGGTATACCTATTTTAATGTGGTTCGTTTCATTTTTTAAGTCGGTTCACAGAAGTAAAAACGAAGATATCAATTTAAAGAATACTAAAATAATACAATTACACAATAACCGGACTGATTTGAATATAAAAGTTCTTAAATTTTCACGAAGAACATTGTGTAATAAAAAAAGGGTGCGTGTACTTATTTATGTACGCGCGTAAGAAGTTAAACATTATTTTTATTTTATTTTTTTTAGTTAAATTTTAATCAATTTGAATAAAAATCGATTAAACAACATCCATATTGGATAGCACGCATATTGGACATCCCTTTTCTTGACATCGTAATTCGGTAATTCTCGGTAGGTACGGTTCGGAAAGTTCACCTGCGGCTATATTCAGACTCGCCAAGTTACGTCGGTCATATTGTAATGAGCGATTTAGTGGGCACCTTCATTCTGTTAATTTTGTGTCACGGTGCGCGCGCATCGTAAAATTTCACTCTCATCAATTTTTCATAACGCGCTTAAAGTATAACTTCAAGAAATAAAACCGCCTTTTTTATGGCGTAATGACAGCTGATATGGTCTTTTTAAATCATGTTACAACTTTAAAAAATGACCTGGGACCTAACTTTTTATTCCAAATATAATAACATTTGTAGTCCACAGATAATAAATCTATAAAAGGGGTGGTGGACTAATCGGATTCATAATTCGTCAGACGTATGATTTTGCAGGTCATGGAGTGGCTGAGAGTATTACTGTTCCATACATGGTTCGACGGATATTTGTTTTCCTACCTGTGTGATAGGTTGAGAGACTATTTTATGAGCATACGGGACTCAAACCGGGAGTGTTGCTAACACTGGTCTTAGCAAGAGCAGTGCTTCGTAGAATCTACCACCGGATCAGAAACGCGACCCACTGAGAAGATCCGGCGAGAAACTTAGTGGGCTGTGTCTATGGGTTAATTTGCTCGTCGAGCCCTTCGTCGTAAGCGACGGGTTCGGCGAGGACGGTGACCGGTGCTTGAGGTGCCTAAAAGCACCGTAAATGGATCTGGAGGATCCGTAATGACGTGTTTAGGGCGACGTCGACTGTTTACCATTCGGTCCACAGGATCGGGTATACGACGGATACTATCCGTTCTTAGATCCTTCACTTTATGTGAATGGCATGGTCGGATTGAATACCCTAGAGCTGAAAATCGAAAGAGACGTGCTGATTATTGATTGAGAAGTATTGTTAAAGTGCATTTATCAACTATTGTACAACTAAATTGATAATTTCACTGTACTAGAATTAGTGTCGCCTAATATAATGTGCCTGATGGTTAAATTCTTGGATGTACAAGTGGGGAGTACGTCGCCTGCACTGGCTTCATAGTATCACGCATGCACGTATTCAGCTCACTGCCGCTGCCGATGCATTGTGCTGTCTCGCTACCTTGCCAGCCTTACCAGACTTACCAGCCTATACTCCAGATACGGATATACTATGATACTTTGCAGCGATTTGTAACTCTTGCCAAAACTACTTAAGCTACATTTATACCGCTAAGCTACCGTTAATTTGTTACAAAAATTTTGGTTAAGCTGTTATTTTGCAAGAAGACGGTACTAAATAAATAACAAATATTCTGCTTGTCCAATAAAGTCGAGAAAGTAAAAATGAGGTGTGAACATTTTTTCGTCAGTTAAAACATACTGCAATCGAAAGTTAATATTATTGAAGAATGTATTTTCTCTCTTTTTTAAACTTCACATAATAATCTATGATAATCTATGCTTCTCCAAAATATGGCTGTTTTTTTTTCTACATCTGACAACATTTAACATGGCCGCATGTTGAACAAAACGATTTTCTTTACTGTTTGCCAAAATAAAATAGCAGGGGCATAAAAACAAGAGCGGATTGATGATAGTTTTATAACTGTGGAAATAAAAACTGTTAAATATTGAATTTAGGTAAGGGCCGTCACGATGTACTTTTGTAATTGACTTGGTTTATTTACGGTGTTTTGGTTGACCGCGATATTTATAGTTTGTGTTGTGTCGGTGGCAGTGGAAGATGATGCATCACCCAAACATGCATCATCAGCCGATGTCAGGGCACCCGCCGCAGCACATGCCTGGACACCAAGCGATGCCCGCACACCATCAGATGCCGCCCCATCAGTTACACCGGGAGAACAGGCACGTAACGTTGACTAGGTAACTTCGGCTTTTTATTTTGTTTGCAAACCGTAAGTTAACTAACCATTTTAAAATAGTAAGACTTAGGCATACTAACAGTAGTACTTTCATTTAAATTAGGGTTTCATTAGTGTTTCATAGTTTCATTTTAGGCATGGTTCATTATTTAGATGTTTATTTACTAGCCTGTGTTTGGTTTGACTTAATTTAATCATGTCCTGATTAGACTTCACACGTAAATTGTTTTATTATGGCCATATTTATTTTAAACTAATTACTATTTTACTATTTTTAGTTATTATTTAAATTATTTTCTTCCTCAAAAGTTTAGTTTATTAGTTTGGTTAATACTCTTAACAGCATTCAATGTGTACAAAATAAATAAGTTGTAAAATATTAAAATAATAGAAGTAAATACTCAAATTTCAAATTTTGATAAAACTCATTCATATACAATAGGATAAAAAGCAATTTGTAGAGTAATTTTTTTAATATTTTGCTGTTTTCAAACCTAAAAATATCTATTAAACTTGTTTCCTTGTATGTTGCTGATCATGACAGAAACTGATTCAATAGTGTACTGTAAAAAATTGTAAATCACCAACTACCAAAATTAAAAGACAACATACCTAATGTACTATTTTTGAAATTTTCTTAATGCACTTAATAATGGCTGTATCGAACAATGCTGTTAAGTGTACCCATTAAACTTACCAATTTTTTATTCACATTTATAGTATGCTCTTTAATTTATATAATTCATGAACATGATTAAAACTACCTTCATGGGTTAATCTCATGTTCATAACTTTCATATGTTAAATACTTTACAGGTGTAATAATCATGTACAACGGTAATGTCATTAGACAGTATTTGTATTTTGTGAAACCAATATGTTTAATCTATAAAAACAAATCAGTATTATGTGCATTCATGTTTTGGGCTGTATTAAATTATTCCCTACCTACAAACAATGCTACTGACACTTTCTACATTTAGACAACAAATTACAGTATTGGTCATGAATATTTTTATTTTAACATTTAAGATGAAATTTTTCATTCAATCAAATTTCAAGCTTACTTATTTTCAAATATAGTATTTTGTTGTTTTTTTGAGTCATAGACATAACAATTAAATCACGAACACTAACCAGTTCAGCATTTGAAATGTCACAAATGAAACAATGACAATAAAATATGTGAGAGTAAACCATAAACGTAATTTTAGGTAAATGAAGGTTGTGTCCTTGAAACTTGACTGTGGCCTGTCTCGTGAGCTGTTTCCACCTCGTCTGGTCCTCAGCTTCTCATAGGGCGGTTGCGACTGCCCACCCACTTAAGGTGGTTATTCGGTCACACTAGCCGTTCGGATTGTTGATAATCCCATTGTCACGGATCATTTGGAACCTCTGAGTCTGCAGAGGGACTTTGGTTTCCCTTGTATTTTGTACCATATATTCCATGTGAAGGTACTCTGAGGAATTATTTGATATGATTCCTTCGTCTCGTTTTTACCGACGCACCGCCCGCCACCAGAGTAGAGTTCATCCGTACTACCTGGAGCCACTGCGTTCACCCACAGTGCGTTTCCAGAGATCTTTTTGCTATTTACCATCCGGCCTTGGAATGAACTCCCCTCCACGGTGCCTGCATTTGCTCTGCGCCTGGCATTGCTGTCATGGAAATCCATGAGCGACGGTAACCACCATCAAGTAAGCCGTATGCAATAGGCAATAAAAACAAATTAAAAAAACTTAAAGGCTAGTCGATCGGCCGCGCGGCTTATTTCATTCTACTTTACCCATCACAATCACTTTGTCTAAGTTATCCGACTGTCGGTGGGCAATGTGATCGAAGTAGCTGAGGATTCTCTGGTAGCAAATGGTTTCTCGCCTGACTCGGATGTTGACTCGGAAGTTGTTTTAGAATAGATTTATTTGTCCACTTGGCCGTCCACGGAATTCGGAGCATGCGTATCCAGCACCACGTTTCAAACGCGTCTATTTTCGTGCGCTCTGCCCTGATTGTCCAGGACTGCCCTGATTGTCCACCGTAGAGAAAGATTGAAAAAACTAAGGTTCGAACGAGTCTCATTTTCGTGACGTTGAAAATTTTGCGATTTTGACGTATTCGTTTGAGCTTGGTCATCGCTGTTTGGACCATCTGAGTCCTCTTCCTGATTTCGCCTTCTTTTTAATTTTAAATATAGGTTCCAAATAACATTACATCAGATTTTATCCAAAAGTAGTACCTAATATTCTTGTGAATGAGAAAAGGTTGAACTAGAGAGTGTCTCTTCGGCAGAGATTAATGTAGTTTTCATTTCTGTAGTCACCTTATATTCATTCAGTATAATTTTTAATGTTTTATAATCCATTTGATACATGTATTTCCATTTAGTTATCCTTTGTAGCAAAAAAAAGCTTCTGGGATATATGTAATGTAATGTATGTAACTTAGAATTTAAAGTTGCCCTAAATTCATATTCTTTTTTAAATATTATTATTTTAAATTTTATTCTAAGTTCTTTTATTAATTTTTGCATTTAGATTTCTAGTTGAAATAAAAAGTAATAAAATTTGCATTTATATATGTTGCATTTTTAGTTAAATATATTTGACGAACTGCATATTGGTTATCAAGTTTAATTTACTAGAATACAATAGTTGCTATTAAAATAAACTTATGATATTAAAATGTCTCCTTCAATTCAATGGAAATTTTTTGAATTTATTACATTAAACTTTCGTGTAAGAATTTTTGATCAAGAGACTATATTATATCGTTTTTCTGTGTGGTTTAAATGTATACTCATACAAGCCACACGATAACAGTGTAATAATATTACTTGGCTTCTCAAACTTTGACACTCTTTAATATAATAACTCTGTTTTACATTCATCCATTGAGTGTAGACGCTTTCATATGCAAATTATGTGTAATTTGTTGATACGCCGAGGGTCTTTTGCGGCACTCTTTGTCACTTAAACAGGTCACGAATGAATCGGACAAAAGGAACANTCATACAAGCCACACGATAACAGTGTAATAATATTACTTGGCTTCTCAAACTTTGACACTCTTTAATATAATAACTCTGTTTTACATTCATCCATTGAGTGTAGACGCTTTCATATGCAAATTATGTGTAATTTGTTGATACGCCGAGGGTCTTTTGCGGCACTCTTTGTCACTTAAACAGGTCACGAATGAATCGGACAAAAGGAACATATGACGATGTCTCTATTGACCAGCGGAGCCAGTTCGAAAGCCAGGACCTTTCTTCACGAAAAGTAATATTTCACGTCAATTGAACGGCGGGCAGTTGCAATAACACTGTCACAGTGTGTACGACTGATCACACGAAAGGTGTCCAGTGTCCCCGCTTCCTTTCACTAAAACTTTGCTCTTTATCTTTCGTTGGCGTGGAATCTCGAAGTGATAACTTGAATCTAGTGATAAACGTTGAGATATCTTGAGATTTACTAATAAACGTAATGGTAAATGAATTTTATTGTGTTTGTGTGTAAAGGGTACCGCTGGGTCCATCCCAGGCGGGCGGAGGGATGGGCGGGCATGGGCAGGCAATGGGCGGCATGGGCAGCATGGGCAGCATGGGAGTACCTCCACACCACGGACCTGCTCAGAGACCTCCGCATCCGATCAGACCTATGCCACATCATCCACCAGGCCAACATCACAATGTACCACCGGTAGTGTATATTCATTTGTATAATATTATTCACTCCTACTACGTTTGTCAGTAAGTTTTGTCTTGATCTAGGTCGAAATTTTAAAAATATACATTTGTAATAATTTTAGCAGGCTGTTTAAAAAAGTTTAATATTGTGGATTTACGTAGGTATCAAATAGTGATATTCCATTCCGATCATTTGTTTTTATAATAAGGGTTTTTAATAAAACCCTTAGTTGGGTGGCGAGATGGTTTCACGCCGAGAAATTTCAAGCAATTGTCCTACACTAACCGAATCATAGTGGTTTAAGAAATAGTGGCATAAGAAGTAGGTTATTACTGGTAACATGAATAGCTTAGTACGCATGTTCACTTCTATAACACTAGCTTTTTGGGAAAGTAACAAAGAATCTCCTCTTGAACTGTACCTATAAGAATTTACTAGTAGTGAATTCGAAATCATTTTAAGTAATTCAATTCCATATTCGTTAACTATCACGCCTAGACCGCTGGAAGTAATTCACGGGAATCCGGTAATTAATTCAAGTAATTCAGCAATTTTTGCTGTGTAAGGATCAACGACATATTCTTTGATCCGGAGAAAAATAGACAGAAAGAGCAAGGCACTCGTGCAACAAGAATATAGTTGAGCAACTGTATCATATACACGTGCGATTAAAATGTCTCGATTCGATTTCATCTTTTTTAAATTTGTTATGACCACATCTGGCAATTCCCCTAGAATTTTGACGACATTTAGCAACTACGGCGATGCTACGAGACGGCCTCTATCTAGATTTAATGCTGGTTTTAATCTGGCATCAAATTGAATACCAATAAAACTACGTGTGCTAACAGCTGGTACATAATATAGCATTATTTTTGTTATAACGAGATATTATTTTTTGCTACTAATACTTTGTATTCACATTGGAAGAGATCTTATACAAAACACAAATGATCCCTTCACTGTTTTACCGAACCACATAGTATTGAGTCGATTTTTAGTGGGAGTAGGTCTTTCTTTTTCCAGTATACATATTTGCTTAGGAGAAAAGCATAGGTCGGGGTTGCTGAATGTAAATAATTTTTAATTGCGTTATTTGGTTGTCGACAGCGACTTCGTCGTCCGTATATGGGCGGCGGGTACGGTCCGGGCGGGGTGGTACCTCCCCCCTTCCAGCACCATCATCCGCCAACGCAACCCGCCCAACAAACTCAGAACGCACCGCCACGTCACACTGGTGAGTAAATCTAAGCTCTCACAAATATTGTCGTCATGGTATCAATGCCCTGACATAATCTATACTAATATATAAATCTACAGTGGTTTTTACGGATGTTCCGTTATAACTACTGAACCATGCATCCGATTGACTTGAAACTTGGTATCCATGTAGAAACTACATGTAATTAATGAATAGGCTAATATTTATAATAGTGTTGGACTCCCTAATAATAATGACAATAAATAATAATGTTTATTTTAAATGCCCAGCGAAGCTGGCGAGTACGGCTAGTCTATACTAATATTATAAAGAGGAAATATTTGTTTGTTTGTTTGTTTCGAATAGGCTCCGAAACTACTGGACCGATTTGAAAAATTCTTTTTCCATTAGAAGCCGACATTGTCCCTGATGAACATAGGCTACTTTTTTTAATTTTAATTTTATTTTTTGGTTTCATGTGTGTTTTAATGTTTCCGAAGCGAAGCGAGGGCGGGTCGCTAGTATTTGAATAAAAGTTTACGAAGCACAATTCTCATACATTAATATTACTTAAAACGAATTTTGATTCCCCATTAATTCTATTGATCTAGTGTAGATACGTACATATTATTGCAAATATTGAAAGTAATCGTAATAGTAGAAATATCTTTTTCCGTTTTAACCCTTTCGCTACGGCAGGCCTCGCTTCAAAGTGTTTCGCAAGAAAGGGAGCGCTAAATGTGCGCACATCACCTTTCGCGTTGTTTTCCCTACCTATTCGCTGGTAGCCTAAGAGGCTATTTCAGTTAAGTCCGGACGGGTAGGTGAGTTCACGGGCTCAACCTGAGAGAATTTGCTAACACTAGCCCTAGCAAGAGCCGTGCTTCACAGAATCTACCATCGGATCGGAATTTCGACCCACTGAGAAGATCCGGCGAGATACTCAGTGGGCTGTGTCTATGGGTTAGTTCGCTAGTCGAACTCTTCGTAGTATTTTTTTTCGGCGTTATTTTTCAACCGGTGACTATAGTCACCCATCGTATATAGACGACCTTTTGTGACGGGTGACTAGTCACCCATAGTAGCGAAAGGGTTAACAATTTCAATATTAATGGTTTTGTAATATGTGATTAATTTAATATATTAGGTCGGGACAGGCTATCGTCTCCCCCACTTTTTTCTTCGAACTCGAAGCTCATGCAAGATTTAGATGGACAATGCATAAATTATCACAAAGATATAGGTACATACTGTAATTTGACACTTGATTTTATAGCTGTTGTTTTGTACAAAAAGAAAATACATTTGTTTTTTAATTCGTTTTTTTAGTTAATACTAATATTATAAAGAGGAAATATTTGTTTGTTTGTTTGTTTCGAATAGGCTCCGAAACTACTGGACCGATTTGAAAAATTCTTTTTCCATTAGAAGCCGACATTGTCCCTGATGAACATAGGCTACTTTTTTTAATTTTAATTTTATTTTTTGGTTTCATGTGTGTTTTAATGTTTCCGAAGCGAAGCGAGGGCGGGTCGCTAGTATTTGAATAAAAGTTTACGAAGCACAATTCTCATACATTAATATTACTTAAAACGAATTTTGATTCCCCATTAATTCTATTGATCTAGTGTAGATACGTACATATTATTGCAAATATTGAAAGTAATCGTAATAGTAGAAATATCTTTTTCCGTTTTAACCCTTTCGCTACGGCAGGCCTCGCTTCAAAGTGTTTCGCAAGAAAGGGAGCGCTAAATGTGCGCACATCACCTTTCGCGTTGTTTTCCCTACCTATTCGCTGGTAGCCTAAGAGGCTATTTCAGTTAAGTCCGGACGGGTAGGTGAGTTCACGGGCTCAACCTGAGAGAATTTGCTAACACTAGCCCTAGCAAGAGCCGTGCTTCACAGAATCTACCATCGGATCGGAATTTCGACCCACTGAGAAGATCCGGCGAGATACTCAGTGGGCTGTGTCTATGGGTTAGTTCGCTAGTCGAACTCTTCGTAGTATTTTTTTTCGGCGTTATTTTTCAACCGGTGACTATAGTCACCCATCGTATATAGACGACCTTTTGTGACGGGTGACTAGTCACCCATAGTAGCGAAAGGGTTAACAATTTCAATATTAATGGTTTTGTAATATGTGATTAATTTAATATATTAGGTCGGGACAGGCTATCGTCTCCCCCACTTTTTTCTTCGAACTCGAAGCTCATGCAAGATTTAGATGGACAATGCATAAATTATCACAAAGATATAGGTACATACTGTAATTTGACACTTGATTTTATAGCTGTTGTTTTGTACAAAAAGAAAATACATTTGTTTTTTAATTCGTTTTTTTAGTTAATACTAATATTATAAAGAGGAAATATTTGTTTGTTTGTTTGTTTCGAATAGGCTCCGAAACTACTGGACCGATTTGAAAAATTCTTTTTCCATTAGAAGCCGACATTGTCCCTGATGAACATAGGCTACTTTTTTTAATTTTAATTTTATTTTTTGGTTTCATGTGTGTTTTAATGTTTCCGAAGCGAAGCGAGGGCGGGTCGCTAGTATTTGAATAAAAGTTTACGAAGCACAATTCTCATACATTAATATTACTTAAAACGAATTTTGATTCCCCATTAATTCTATTGATCTAGTGTAGATACGTACATATTATTGCAAATATTGAAAGTAATCGTAATAGTAGAAATATCTTTTTCCGTTTTAACCCTTTCGCTACGGCAGGCCTCGCTTCAAAGTGTTTCGCAAGAAAGGGAGCGCTAAATGTGCGCACATCACCTTTCGCGTTGTTTTCCCTACCTATTCGCTGGTAGCCTAAGAGGCTATTTCAGTTAAGTCCGGACGGGTAGGTGAGTTCACGGGCTCAACCTGAGAGAATTTGCTAACACTAGCCCTAGCAAGAGCCGTGCTTCACAGAATCTACCATCGGATCGGAATTTCGACCCACTGAGAAGATCCGGCGAGATACTCAGTGGGCTGTGTCTATGGGTTAGTTCGCTAGTCGAACTCTTCGTAGTATTTTTTTTCGGCGTTATTTTTCAACCGGTGACTATAGTCACCCATCGTATATAGACGACCTTTTGTGACGGGTGACTAGTCACCCATAGTAGCGAAAGGGTTAACAATTTCAATATTAATGGTTTTGTAATATGTGATTAATTTAATATATTAGGTCGGGACAGGCTATCGTCTCCCCCACTTTTTTCTTCGAACTCGAAGCTCATGCAAGATTTAGATGGACAATGCATAAATTATCACAAAGATATAGGTACATACTGTAATTTGACACTTGATTTTATAGCTGTTGTTTTGTACAAAAAGAAAATACATTTGTTTTTTAATTCGTTTTTTTAGTTAAAATTAAATTAGAACATGCGTAGATAGTGGATCGTATAATTTATTAGTTTTTATTGTTCTTAATTGAATATGCAATTTCGAAAAGGGCACATGTCTGAAAATTTAAAATGTTCAGGAAATGAAAAAAAAACTGATTATTTTCTAAAGCAGTGTGAAATTTAAAATATTAACTTTTGAGATATATTTTAGTGTTAATTAGTAATTGAAAATTACTGGAATTATTATAAAATGGGTGTAGGTAAGCCTCAAAACTACATGTATATGAAAAAACGTATTTGACAAAATATGCGACATGTGTCCTTTTCGAAATTGCATATTCAATTAGATTTTAAGTTTTTATAGATATAATAGTTGTTTTAGTAGCTTGCTTGATATTTACTTTAAGAAATCTCAGTAATGTATGTATGTATGTATGTATCACTTCATAGTTACTGTTTTTAGAATTATTAGCATGTGCCTAATATGATGGATAGACAAGCTAATGTGACAGAGTACATACTTTCTATAGTAAAAAGTCTATAGACCGCTAATGCTCAACATCACGACAGAGTACATGCTTTCTACAGTAAAAGTCTATAGACCGCTAATGCTCAAAATCACGACAGAGTACATGCTTTCTATAGTAAAAGTCTATAGACCGCTAATGCTCAAAATCACGACAGAGTACATGCTTTCTATAGTAAAAGTCTATAGACCGCTAATGCTCAACATCACGACAGAGTACATGCTTTCTATAGTAAAAGTCTATAGACCGCTAATGCTCAAAATCACGACAGAGTACATGCTTTCTATAGTAAAAGTCTATAGACCGCTAATGCTCAAAATCATATCTCAGTATAAAGACGTTTGAAAAAAAAGCCGTAATTGCAAAGTTGCAGCAGGGTCGGTATCAGCGGGTCCGGTATCCGGCAGCGCGGCCGTGCCCGAGGCGAGTGCAAACGTGGGCGCGGCGCTGAGCGCGGGCGGCGCGGACTGCGCACCGGCGGCGGGCGACGGCGAGGCGCGTGCTCCTGCCGCCGCGGCCAACAGTAAAGAGAAGACTCCCATGTGCCTGGTCAACGAACTGGCCAGGTACAATAAGGTCAGCCCGTTTCACTTCTTATTCGTTGTCCCACCATCGCGGCCCGTCTAGTGTTAAATGATTACCAGAGTCCATAAACATTTTTGTTGGTACATTTTTTCCTTATTAGGAAAGGCAAGGGGATCTAAGCCCATACAGCCTTGTCTGTTCTATATAGTCCATAGACATAACAATGTGAATTCAGCCACCTACCTTGAGACTTGATGTCTGTTATCTCAATTATATAGTAATAACATAAATTTTTGGCGCTTTCTATTTTTATTACACAGTATTGTTCCTTCATCGTGGCAGACATTTGTGAACATGTATCAAATATGTATTTCATTAGAAGTATTTGGTTAGCAGGATTTGAACATGGGCATTTAAGTGAAGACGCTTGAAAAGACGTCGTTCCATAATCCATAAACTATAATCACCTTATATAACCAACATGTCAAAAGCCACAAAATGGCGTCAAACATATTTAGGAACCCTATTCGTAGATTGAAGACACTGATCCAATTGTTCTATGTTAAGGAACTATTGGTTGAACTAAGGTTGGAATTTAATTTAAAATCAACACTGCTTAGCCAATTTTACTATGCCCAAAGAATTTCGACTTTAAGGCAGCTAGGCGGCAGCTTAAAGCCGTACCTAATAGAAAAAAAAATCACAGATTCATAATGTATTATTAAAATATTATTTTGGCCGTGACAAAACGTCAAAAGCATAGAGAAATAAAAAGTAAGTTGGGTTTTTATTCACAGATAAAACACCAATACCGCCTCACATCAGAAACAGGACCGGCCCACAAAAAAGTATTCACAGTAACACTTCGCTTGGGTGAAGCTGAAGAATATACAGCTGAGGTACATTTTTAAATTTTACACAAACTAACTTTATATTTTTCATTGTTCTAATGCCGGCCACTCACATGCGCGCGAACATTTGTACATTGTACGAATGTTCGCGCGCATGTGAAGGGCCGTCAGACATTCATTCGCAAACTTAGCGGCTGTGCAAATGGGTTCGGTATTCAATTTGCGAACCCGTTTGCGCTTCCTCCTACACTTGTTTACGAATGTCTCACGAATTTTTCTTCTTTTTTAATTCGTCAATAGAACATTGAAGAGAAAAAGAGTTTTTAATTCTTTCCTAAGCGTCATTAACGGCCATTCTGTTGTTATTGGATTTCTTTTGAGGGTCTCATACGGTCGATTCATTTTGCAGGAGTTCAATGAACTCCATCACCTTGGTGTTGTTCCAATCCATGATGAAGCTACACAATAGACGTCACGGACTATGAAAATGGCGAACCGTCCGTTACCTTCGCAATCGTGAGCGCAACTGGTCACACGAATAAGTGGGAAACATTTTTAACGATCTGTTTACGGGAACTACGAACGAACGAGATTTCAATACTGTGTTAAACACGTCTATAATAAATAAGAGCAGCTATGTAGTAGGATGTCTCAGTCCTGCATTTTAATGGCGGTGATGTCAGAGACTACCATGTGTGACCTTTTTTTTATTATATGACAATTTTTCAATATTCGTATGTGCGATGTTGTTCAGGGCTCGTCCATAAAGCGCGCACAGCACGCGGCGGCCGGCGCGGCGCTGGCGGGCACCGCCTACCCCCCACCCCCGCCCCGACCCGCGCCGCCACTCACCGCACTGCATCATCATCACAGGAATTCTGGTAAGTAGCACGAGTTGTATATATATTGTTTGAGTTTGATTAAAACAAGATTTTTTTCGTTATATAAAAAATATTTACCTAATAATATATTAAATTTAACATCTTATTAGACAGAATCTTAAAAAATCAACATAAGTTGTTAATTAAGAAACGTATAAAAAAAATATTTCTTTTGTCCTTAATTTAAATATTTTTTTTATTGATAGAGTTGAATTATATTAAGTGAAAATTAATGTTAACAAAGAGATTATTGCGATTAGGATCAAGCAGAATAATTTACATTAGAGAATAAAAACAGGCTAGTGAAGTGACTTGTTGGCGTCAGGTACAGTCATGCCGACAGTGGAGCTGAACGCGTTGGCAATGAAGCTGTGCCAGCCCGCCATATACACGTCGCTGCCGGCCGTGGCGGGGTGCGGGCGGGGCGCGCGGGGCCGCGGGTACGGCGGCGGCGTGTTCGCGCGCGTGCTGCCGGCGCTCGTGTACCGCGTGCGCGTGGACGTGGGCGGCCGCGCCTGGCTGGGCGAGGGCGCCACGCCGCAAGCCGCGCGACACGACGCGGCGGCGCGCGCGCTGCACGACCTGCGCCCGCACCCCGCGCCCGCCGCCGCCGCGCTCGCGCCGCACGATACCAACGCCGCTACAGACGAAAACGGTATCCTCATTTTTTTNCGCGTGCTGCCGGCGCTCGTGTACCGCGTGCGCGTGGACGTGGGCGGCCGCGCCTGGCTGGGCGAGGGCGCCACGCCGCAAGCCGCGCGACACGACGCGGCGGCGCGCGCGCTGCACGACCTGCGCCCGCACCCCGCGCCCGCCGCCGCCGCGCTCGCGCCGCACGATACCAACGCCGCTACAGACGAAAACGGTATCCTAATTTTTTTTATTGTAAAACTGTAACAAAGGTCGTTCGACAGTGGCTTATATAACTGATCATAAACTCCGTGTTATTGGGTCTGTGTGTTCCAACATCATTGAAAAACAGCTGTTACACTTAAATTGTTTCCATTTTTTTTGTTTAAATGATGAGTTTAAAATCGAGAGATAATCATTATAACTGATAACGAATTCGGGAATTATAGAGAAAACTTAGTGCTACTAATTTACGTTGCTCTCCGATTTGTTTATTTAAAATACGTAGAAGCGCACTTATTATTTACACTTTATCTTTTCATAATCATATAATTCATATTAATCAACTTAAAATCGATTTAGAATTTGCAAATTAAAATACCATACATCACATTAAATTATGACAAGTCACGGATAATATATCAACTAATTAATATTAATTGCTGGCTTTAGAACCGAAACACATTGCTGTATGGTAGGGAAAATATATTTTGCACTTACAACTGATAACAACAATTTCAAACACTTGCCTACTTTATTAATTGTGCACTGATTAAGTAACATGAATTAAATTAAAAAAACCTCACTTTACGTTAATTGCATTATTTTTGGAAATATAAATCAAAAATATATAAATTAAATTTCAGGGGAAGGAGGTGATTTATTGAATTCTGAAGTGAAGTCTCCGGTGTCACTTGTACATGAGATTGCTTTGAAACGAAATCTCACTGTTGATTTTGCTGTCAAATCTGAGCGCGGACCTCCACATATGAGGGTGAGATTGGATTTACTATAATTTTTTCTTGAGTTCTCAATCACAACCTCTACTTATTTTTATATCTAAATATATTTTCTCCTAAAAGTGGTCGCAAGCGTGTCCATAATACACAAGTTATATTGACCATGTGACCTTTATCTATACTAATATATAAATCTACAGTGGTTTTTACGGATGTTCCGTTATAACTACTGAACCATGCATCCGATTGACTTGAAATTTGGTATCTATGTAGAAAATACATGTAATTAATGGATAGGCTAATATTTATACGAGTGTTGGACTCCCTACACCAGTTGCGGGGGTGTTAATTATGAGAATCTTTGTAGGGCTGAGAAATAATAATATTAATTTTAAATGCCCAGCGATGCGGACGGTTACAGCTAGTAATTTATAATGCCAACTACATATAACAACAAATTACGCAATAGTTGTATTGAAATTGCTGGTCACACACACACACACAGGTATTCGTGACGACATGCACTGTGGGCGAGATAGAGACGGAGGGCGAGGGCAACGGCAAGAAGGTGTCGAAGCGTCGCGCGGCCGAGCGCATGCTGGAGGAGATGCGGCACCGCTGGCCGCTCGCCGCGCTGCGCCCGCGCCCGCCCGAGCGCCGCCGCCCGCACCCCGCCAAGAAGAAGCCGCGCAATCTAATCAAGGTTACTCACTTTTTTTTAATAATCTTATTGCTTACTACTGAAACTCAAGCACATTTCGCTGTGACTTCCTCGAAATTTATAAAAATATATAATAGTTTTTTTACACGCTTTTTTTTACAAAAAAATCATTTTTCCTAACACTATTTTTAATTCAAATTTATTAAAATTTATATTCTATTCTTTAGTTAGATTTTCTATAAAAGCGTATTTTGTTAGTTTTTTTAAACTATTATTTGTTTTTCATTTTTTAGTTGAATTTCAATTTTTTAAATTTTTTTAAAATATTCAATTGTCATCGGGCCTTAATAAGTATATCAAATTTCGAATGAATTTTACGTTTTGAAGGGGCTCACAATCGTGTTCAAAGATTCCGTTACATACTAACATACATACGTCTGAAACTAATAAAAGCATATTAAAAATATATAATATATTACATTGCTTCCCTCAAGTGAAGTTTCAGTTATGTATCAGACAGTAGAAAATACATGCTCTTGGGATGTGGAGTTACTGCTTTTTTGTATGACTATCATAGATAAAACCTCAAAACTCCGCGGTACACCTACATCTAACGCTACTTCTCGGCGCCATCTTTATTAGACTAGTAACATATCGATGTAGAAACTCAATCAACTGAGGGAACGATTGATGGAGAAAGAGGCTAGTTAGTGTTCACGACACCTCGTACACTCACACCGTAAATTATCTATTAAAATAAAAAATAATTAGAATCGAGCCAGACTTCTCGTAATTGTTTTGACACATAAGTAAATCGTCAAGGCTTCAATTACTCGTGTGTCAATATTTTTTTTGATAAAATAAAGTAAGTAAAACACGACATATAAAGTAGTAGCAGTGTTTGTATAGTAGTTAAGACATGTTCCACATGTTGTTGCAGGAGGGCAGCGTGTGCAGCGGGTCCGGCGGCGGCAGCCCGGGCGGCGACAACCCCATCTCCCGGCTGGCGGTGGTGCGGCACGCGGCCCGCGCGCGCTCGCCGCACTACGCCGTGCTGGAGGAGCGCGGCGCCGCGCGACGCCGCGAGTTCCTCGTGCGCTGCGACGCGCCGCCGCACTCCGCCACCGGCCGGGGACCCAACAAGAAGACCGCCAAGCGACGCGCCGCGCACAGTAATTACGACACCCTTATTCTTATATTTAGATACTAGCGACCCGCCCTCGCTTCGCTTCGGAAACATTAAATTTTATTATTGAATAGTTGAATCCCGCGATGTTACCCGCGGTTATTGACGTATCGCGGGTGACGCCACGGTGCGAAGCTAGTCAAAAAAAAGTAGCCTAAGTCACTCCTTATATTATCAGCTACCTGTCAATGAAAGTCCCGTCAAAATTGGTCCAGCCGTTCCAGAGATTAGACGGAACAAACAGACAGACAGACAAAAATTGTAAAAAATGTTATTTTGGTTTATGTACCGTATATATTTATTTCTATGCATGTAGTAAAAAGCGATTATTTCAAAATTACAAACAGATACTCCAATTTTATTTATATGTATAGATAACCAGTACAGTACGTACACCGCGAAGTATTTGCTGATTCGTGATTGACGAGTCTACTATAACTTTTAATTTAAAATCAATCTGTTATAAATAACTAAAAAAACTAACGTTTTTTATTATTTCAAGTAAAACTCAACTATGACTAATCGTGTACAATCCATGGTTGAGTTGCCGTTTATTTTGGTTTTGAATGAAAAGTGCACTCATGAGCCGCCAGTATTCTTTACTAGTTGGTAGTAGAACGTATTGTCAGCCCGCACGCGACGCAATCATGCGTTTCAGTTTGAAGAGTAGGGCAGCTGGTGTACAATAAAATTTCAACCTCAAAGTGTGTCCTATAATCATTTGACACCTCGAGCTCATCTGCAGACCTAAATTATAAAAAAATGCTCACACTTATCATCAAAACAATCATAAATACAAAGCAATGACATTTTCAGATGTACTTTTAGCAATGGAAATGATAACAAACGGCTCGACTGGCAACACAGCCACAGTCAACGGCTCCGAGCTCAGCACTAGCGTCTCTAGCGATGGAAGTAAATCTAATGGAACCGATAGCAAAAACAAGGTGAGGTGCTACTCATGCCATTGAAATTAGTTTTGATTCTGGATTCAACGAAACAAGCGATTTCATATAAATGGATTTTATATGCAAGTTGTTTACCTTGAAGTTTTATTGTTGATTTTTTGGCTTTCAATATTGGAGAATAGCGACCGGTTTTCAAATCTTGAGTATCACCCAGGTACAATAAACGTGTAATAATTTATACTAGTGGCCCCGCAGTAGTCGAGATTCGACTAATTAATTGAAATTATAAGCTTAAACATTATTATGGTTCTATTGTCAAATACTATTTATATTTCGATAATATAATCACAATATTCGCCAAAACTACACTATAGATCAATAATATTAAAGGCAAACAATATTAATCTATTATCAAATTTGACCACAGACTTTAAACAATAATAAAAGTTTCCCAAATGACATTAAATAAAGAGTATATTTTTATGTATGTGTTATGTCAAATACATGAAAGTGTGTAATGCTTTTTTTAATGATTTAATGCATTTTCTATGCATAATTAAAAAAAAATTAGCATTCTGCACTTCTTCTCTATATTCTCTATAAGTATAGAAAATTTCATACTGCTCCGTCCAGGCAATTTTCGCAAAAAGGGATACAAAGTTTTTGCTTCACGTATTAATATATATAGATGTCACATGTAGTTCGCTTTTAAGAGTACAGAAATATATTTCAGGTTAGCGATACAGCGGCCAGTGAGACCCGACAGCCGGTTCCGGGCGTGCTACTCATGGATTACCAACAACGAGGAGGAACCCCACAAACACAAACGACTAACGGTAAGAACAAACGCGACAGGCGAAATAGTTTCTTGAAACGAAAATAACACAAGTAAAACAAAATGAGTTATCAATCTCATGCACCATTAACTAATTTGTTAATATGAGCCTTAAAATTGTGTTATTAATGGCAACCAATTTTAATAAAACGAAACGCAAAAAATAGTTAACCAGGTTCAATTGATACGGCACAGAAAACAGTTCAGCTGATAAGATTAGCGTGCACAGAACAAACATACCTGCCCTGCCTATTTCTGTCTTGAAGCAGTAAAGCGTTTCGGTTTGAAGGACGGGGCAGCCGTTGTAACTATGCTGAGACCTTGGAACTTGTATCTCAAGGTGGGTGGTGCATTTACGTTGCATTTACGTTGCAGATGTTTATGGGTTCCAATAACCACTTAACACCAGGTGGGCTGTGAACTCGTCCACCTATCTAAGCAATAAAAAAAAACATACACTGAAAAGTTTTCTTAGGTTTGCTTTAGTTAATGTGTGTGAATAATTTTATTTTACAGGTGTCACCGATACAGTTACAAATAGCACTAGTAATTCCACTCCAGCTGTGAGCAATAACAGTACTACGACTTCGCCTGGGACGACGCCCGGAGCCAAAGATCAGCTCATGTATCTCTCGCAGCTCCTCGGATTTACAGTGCAGTTTTCAGATTTTCCTAAGGTAATCTTTTTTAAACTTAGCGGTTGATTTATATTAAAAGTGTAACGGTAAAAATTCCTGGTCCCTGTATATGTACTGGTGACTGACACAAAAAAATAGAGGTCTATTAATTAACTGGTACTGTCACGAATAATACAACGTTAAGACTTTATATTCAGAAAGGTAGGATCTAACGTCGGCGTCGACTTGCCAGCGTTGATTTCCTAAATCTGTATAAAGTAGCGGAAGCTTTGTATCGTCTTATACCCATAGACAGCCCACTAAGTTTCTCGCCGAATCTTCCCAGCGGGTCGAGTTTCCGATCCGGTGGTAGATTCTGCAAAGCACGGCTCTTGCTAGGGTTCGTGTCGGCAACAACGTTAGGTTTGAGCCCCGTGAGCTCATCTACTAATAAGGGTTACGCTGAAATAGCCTCTCAAGGCTCTCAGCTTAGGTAGAAAAAAAAAGCATGTGAAGGTATTACGTTTGTGATGTGCAGCGCAACCACGGGGAGTACCTGTCGCTGGTGTCGCTGTCGACGGAGCCGCCCGTGATGTGCCACGGCGGCGGCGCCTCCACCGCGCACTCGCACGAGCAGTGCGCCCGCGCCGCCCTGCGCGCGCTCGCGCTCATGGGGCTGGACGCGCCCGACCACGCCGCGTTAGTACTCTATACTCTATACCACTACTTTTGACATCAACTCTTCACACAATTTTGGGCGTTTCCTATAAAGTATAGATCCAAGCCATTAATTGAAAAAGAACCATTAATTTTTTTATTTTTTTTTATTGCTTTGATGGGTGGACGATCTCACAGCCCACCAGGTGTTAAGTGGTTACTGGAGCCCATAGACATCTACAACATAAATGCGCCACTCACCTTGAGATAAAAATACTAAGATCTCAGTATTGCTACAACGGCTACTCCAGCGTTCAGACCGAAACACATTACTGCTTCACGGTAGAAATAGACATGGTGGCGGTACCTACCCGCGTGGACTCACTAGAAGTCTTAGTAAAGCTATAAATTTGTCATTAATGATTATGTTCCTAAGTTACCATTAAATTTTAAATTAGTTTCAAATAGGTTGCAAGTTGCCTACATCATATAAATATTTCATATCGCATGTTCTATTCGTAAAACGATTGTAAAACTATTTCCAGTGTTCCGAGTACTCCGAGCAAACCGAGCGTCGCCATCACAAACGGAATAACAGAGTGACGGTGTCTCCGCGCGGCGTGTAGTTGATTAGAAGACGCCATTCATTCTCTCTTATTTGGTTTTCTTTCAACTCGATGGCAATATATAGTGTGTGTGTGTGTGTGTGTTTGATTATGCGAGGACGTGTAGGGATCGTGACACACGAGCGGTAACAATCGATATCTTTATGATGTAGCACACTGCCCCCTGATCTCGACTTCATAAGTTTCAATCTTTATTTTCATTTTTTTATGTATTTCAAAAAGATTTGTTTTTTGTATATTATAAATATCTGTCAATTTATGAAATGTAATAGTTTTTATTTTACGATTAATTAGTTTACGATTCGGAATCTTTTATCACAAAATAGATTTAATTTTGTTTTCGGGACGATTGTTTGAATTAATGTTTTTGACGTTTCAATCGTTTCTCACAGTCGTCGATTAGAATGATCAGATAAATTTATTGAATCTTGATCGGACATCAAGCCTGCCTACGATAAGGCGGGCGATAATTAAATTTAGAGTTTATTAATATTTATGATAGTGAAAAACGCGACGCGTTCTGCGAAGTCGAACCGAGTGATAAAATTGAGATTGAGCAGCTCTTGGCGGCCACCGGCAGAACACTGATCGATTATTATAATATATTTATCTCGAGTTTATGCGAGTTTGTTTACGGAACATTCGGTGGTCTGCTGCAGTCTCGACGAACGCTAAAGTTACACCATGCGGCCATGGTGTCCCCTTAGTTTAGCTAATAGAAATAATCGCCGTAATCCTTGTAGTTTAGCAATAATGTTAAGTTCTTTAGTCGTATTGTGCGAGTCTCTGTAATTCAGTATTTTGCCCCGCATCTCTGGTTTATATGTATAATAATTTAAGGACGAACTTGGGTACGGCGATTAGACCACATGGCCTCGGTTTTAAAATCACCACAGTTGTGCTTATTAAAACTATTTATTCGACCCTAGCCTTTGAAATGTTTAATTGTAGATCTACATTTATTCAGTCAGGCACCTTTGATATAATATTAATATCGTAGTTGCTTATATTATTTAATAATTGTGTAATTTTTGCATGAACCCTAATGAATATAGAATAGCAACTAACAAATAATCTTACCATTCGATTAAAGGTATTATTTATGTATTTGTAATAATATAGGTAATGTGTTTTATATGGTTTATCGGATTCAGGATGATGTTATTGCGCCGTCGATCTAGATAATTTCACATCCTTTTTTGTTGATTGTACATTTCACTGTAGCGGGTCTGACGTTTAATAAAATTCTTATAATTATTAAGGATACAGCTGTAAGTTCTCTGTCTTATGTGAAGAGAAAGCAGTATGTCTTTGTTCTAATTAAACATTTTAAATCGAGGCCATCGAAAGTATTTCTTAAAGTTTCAAGTTGCATAAGCAACTGAGCGTTAAGAAATTGTTGATAAAACTATGTTATTGGTGATTGTAAAGCCGAAAAGTGTTTTTATTTATTTGTTTAAAGTAACTAATACATATTTTATTATCGTATGGTAGGAGTGATTCCCAACCAAACTTGTGCTTTTAGCAATGTATATTAAGGACAAGAATAAAAGTTGAACACAAATCGATGTTTTATTTTGAAGGTTATATTTGTCATAAATTCAAAATTTAACATGAATTAATTGTTTTCGAAGGCCAAAATAGATGTATACTGTCTTATTATTGACAGGAAAAGATTATTAAGTGAGATGACTATATACTGGTGGTAGGACCTCTTGTGAGTCCGCGCGGGTAGGTACCACGGCCCCGCCTATTTCTGCAGTAATGCGTTTCGGTTTCAAGGGTGGGTTCGCCGTTGTGACTATACTGAGACCTTAGAACTTATATCTCAAGGTGGGTGGCGCATTTACGTCGTAGATGCCTATGGGCTCCAGTAACCTCTTACCACCAGGTGGAATGCGAGCTCGTCCACTCATCTAAGCAATAAAAATAAAAAAAAAGATGAACTAGAAGCCGGTAATAGATCAACAGAGGAGCTTAGCTATTATATAGACGATAAACAAAAATAAATTGAACTATTTATTTCCTATCTAAGGCCCTTTTTTCGCCTTCCTCAGTTGCAGGTCACCACACTCAATAAATCAACAATTATTATTAAAACGTGTATTTTAGGCAGGTTGAATAAAATTTTCATTTTAGAAAAACAATGTTTTATTTAATAAAAACAGCAGCATTACTTAACAAAATCACAATGTCTCAGTAGACCTCGAGGTAGTCAACGACACAGTGTTTCTGGTATATTTACATAATACTATGTGCATTCGTATGGATAATAATTTTGCTATGGCAACATTTATCATTTTACAAACTTCAGACCCAAAGCTTGCGTCATGAAACATAGGATATCAGTGTGTTCGTCAATCTGAAAAAAAATAAAGTCCCCTTTAAACAGTTTAAAGCACAATTTACACATCTAATATATATAAATCACGTGTCAAGTTGTTTGTCCGCGATGGACTCCTAAACTACTTAACCGATTTTAAATTAAATTGGCACACCGTGTGCAGTTTGATCCAACTTGAAAGATAGGATGGTTTTTATTTCGATTAATGGTCGCAATATTTATTAAAACNTGAAAAAAAATAAAGTCCCCTTTAAACAGTTTAAAGCACAATTTACACATCTAATATATATAAATCACGTGTCAAGTTGTTTGTCCGCGATGGACTCCTAAACTACTTAACCGATTTTAAATTAAATTGGCACACCGTGTGCAGTTTGATCCAACTTGAAAGATAGGATGGTTTTTATTTCGATTAATGGTCGCAATATTTATTAAAACAATCCTGTAAAATTAGTAAGTTGTGAGATTATACAGTTTTAATGCGAGAAGACGATATGTATTATATTATCTATTCTTCTATATTTATAATATAATAGACATAATAGATATTATAATATAAAGTAACTATTAAAGAATACGTACAATTTTAGTGGTGGGTTTTCCGCCGCCGTGCCCCGCCTTGGTGTCGAACCTGGCGAGCAGCGGCGCGCGCTGCGCCGGCGAGCGCCCCGCCACGTGCTGCAGCTCGGCCACGAACTTGAGCGAGTGCAGCGGCACCACGCGGTCGTCATGGTCCGCCGACAGTATCAGCGTCGCCGGGTACTCGGGCCGATCTAGCAATGTCAACTCTATTTCAGTACAAGAAGATGGAAAATGCTGCAACAGGGGAAGCTGCCTTGAACGTTACGCGTGCAACAAAAATTCTTAGAAGTTATATAATATATAATTATAAACACATCAAATAGTTTACTAGTTTTTTGTCTATAAAACTAAATTTACTTGAAAATGTATCAAAAAACAAGTACGCCTCAAGGATAAAACGCCCGGCGTACTCGTCTGAGGTTGGAATCAGGTAGGCACCATTTTTTGTAATGAAATTCGTACTTGGCACATATTAACGAATGACCACCACGACGAAAGAACAACATCGTGCAATAAAATAAATCCCACAAAAAATATAATATCGATAATGAATCGGTTTGAAGAGAGTTAAATTGAGACTTCGATTGTCTCAAACTGAGTGACGTCCTTCCATTGGTTATGTCCACAGACCCTGGTAACCAGTTAACCTTTTATTTTAAAACAATGTTTTACTTATAGCAGACCTGGTGCGCCTCTCAACTTACAAATGCACATTCAACATAGGGAATAACAACATGAACTCACTCTCGCTCGGCGGCTGAATGTTGTGTAAGGGCGAGTACTTCAGCAAGTATTCGAACTGGGTCTTATTGTCGGAGCTTCCGTAGTCAGACACCCAGGCGTGTCCTATCGTGAACTTCTGGAAGCGTAGCATGTCAAGAACTCTGCAGACACAACAAGGATGCGTTAGTACTGTATGACTGGTGGTGGTACTACTGGTGGTAGGACTGGATCAGACTGCTAGGACTTCTTGTGAGTCCGCACGGGTAGGTACCACCACCCCGCCTATTTCTGCCGTGAAGCAGTAATGCGGTTTGAAGGGTGGGGCAGCCGTTGTAACTATACTGAGACCTTAGAACTTATATCGTCTTCTCTCATTCAAACTGTATAATCTAAAAATTTACAATTTTACAAGAGAGTGTTTTAAAGGTTTAAAATGTGATATTTTTAATATTAATTATCTTTATAACTATATATTAAATATCTTTGTAACACTTAATTTTTTATTTTTTACCAGCTACATTATCTGTCTTTTAAAATATTTATTAATTTTGTTAATAGTAATCAAAACATAGGTAAACTAAAAAAAAAAAACTAAACTACGCTTTTTTGACATTGTTTATGAGAAAAATACTGGTGATACCAACTGATTCCGCATATTAACTCATTTTCGAAAATTTTTGGAAACTGTACACTTTTAATGCGAAAAGACGATATGTCAAGGTGGGTGGCGCATTTACGTTGTAGACGTCTATGGGCTGTGAGCTCTTCCACCCATCTAAGCAATCACAGCATCAGGTCTAGCAGCGGGTACTGTCGGCGACTCACCCGACCTGCACGACGGCGGCCCCGTAGAGGTCGGGGCGCTGGTTGATGCAGGCGGCGACGAGCAGGCCGCCGTTGGAGCCCCCCTGGATGGTGAGGAGGGCGGGGCGCGTGTACCGCTCCGACACCAGGTACTCGGCCGCCGCCTGGAAGTCGTCGAACACGTTCTGCTTGTTCAGCAGCCGCCCCGCGTTGTGCCACCTCTCGCCGTATTCCCTGTTCGTTACATAAACAACTTGTTAGGTAATTAGTTCTTATTGTTATTGTTATACATTGCTGGCTCAGTTCTGCCGCGAAGCAGTAATGTATTTGAAGGGTAGGACATGTTTTTACATGACATATTTATTTGTTTTATACATCAGATACCAGCGTCTTCCTCAACTTCACTCCAGACCCAGTGAATCAATATATTGTTTTGAAATTACATTAAAATACTTATTTATGTATCTACAATCCGTTTATCTGGCCTTTTTTTTATGAAACTTTGGCATTTTAATATCACGGTCGTTTATTTAAAGGGGACGAGTGGGAAGGGTGGAAAATATCCATATTATTACGACTGTTAGCCCCTAAATCACCTTATATAATAAAATATACAAAATAAACTCATTTACATGTACATTTATTTATAACTAAAAGCAGTCTTTGATATTTCGTGCTTCGTTTTTTTTTTTAATTACTTCTCCGCAGCTGCTTATCCCTTAGTTTATCTCATGTAGGGTGCAAAATGCAAAAATACTGTTACAGTGACTGCTTACAAATTGCCAAAGACACGAGCCTGTAGTTCAAGTTTTTTTTTATTGCTTAGATAGGTGGACGAGCTCACAGTCCACCTTGTGTTAAGTGGTTACTGGAGCCCATAGGCATCTACAACGTAAATGCGCCACCCACCTCGAGATATAAGTTCTAAAATCTCAGTAAAGTTAGAACAGCTGTCTCACCCTTTAAACCAAAACGCATTACTGCTTCACGGCAGAAAGAGGCGGGGCGGTGGTACCTACCCGTGCGGACTCACAAGCGATTCTACCACCAGTAAATGTCTGCAGTTCACGCAGTTCAGTCAACTCACCCGCCGCCCCTGATGTTGGGGATGGCGACGATCCCGTTCATGTGCTGCATGAAGACGAGCCGCGTGACGCTGAAGCCGGGCTGCACGTTGATGTTGAAGCCGCCGTAGCCGTACAGCAGGACCGGGTTCGAGCCGTCGCGCGGCAGATCCTGTCAGCATAGGGATGTGCTCAGTGGGGGCAGCTCTACTCACACCACATCGTCTTTTTTTTTAAGGGATTTTATGTACTGGTCGCTAAGACCTTTAAGTCAATGAGATGATATGGGATGACATATAATCTTAGTAAAATGATGGTCATTTACTGAGATTTTTTCAGTGGACTTTTTGGAGGATCCCGAGATGTTACGTCCAGCNAGATCCTGTAAGCATAGGGATGTGCTCAGTGGGGGCAGCTCTACTCACACCACATCGTCTTTTTTTTTAAGGGATTTTATGTACTGGTCGCTAAGACCTTTAAGTCAATGAGATGATATGGGATGACATATAATCTTAGTAAAATGATGGTCATTTACTGAGATTTTTTCAGTGGACTTTTTGGAGGATCCCGAGATGTTACGTCCAGCGGCTTTGTTTCATTTTCCCACATTTGTGCACTTTCGCAGATATTAAATAGTTAATAAACCACTGTATTACACATTTAAACCAGAAGAAACACTAAATAGAAAAAAATAAAACAAGTCACACAACTTCACTCCTCGCGTTCCCGCCAAAAAGTCCCATATCGTCTTCTCGCATTAAAAGTATACAATTTCCAAAAATATTCGAGATTGAGTTGATATGCGGACTCATTTGGTATCACCAGTATTTTTCTCATAAATACTGTCAAAAGAGCGTATTTTAGTATCAGTTTTTCTTTTAGTTTACCTATGTTTTGACTACTATTAACAAAATTAATACACAATTTTTTCTTATTTTATAAGATATTATAATTGGTAAAAAATAAAAAAATAATGTCGCAAAGATGATTAATATTAAAAATATCACATGTTAAACCTTTAAAACACCCTGCTTTCAAATTAGAAGTTTTGAGATTATATCGTTTTAATGCGAGAGGACGATACGAGGCGGTCAGCGCAAAAGTGGCCAATCCCACAATTTTTCATATTCGGATTTATATATTGCAATTTATTCAAAACATCTTTTTTTATCAGGAGGAAATCGCCGGACTTTCCGCCCTCTACTGGGGATGGAGGGCGGAGTATGTCAGAGTCGAACCGACTATAACCTCCTGTCGCTCAGCAACCAACGTCCAAACCTCGCATGAGACAGAACTCATGAAAAGGCAAAGGGGGAAAAATGAAGCGTTTAGTGTGGAGCACATCTCTCCAAAACAAGTTTTGATGCAAAACTGGCCTATCCCTAGTTTCACCCATAGATAACAGATGCCTTTGTAAACATTATTTTCGCGCGTATTGTTTTTGCCTACGAAGTAGTGTAAAATTAAAATGAAATCTCATGATCTTCATATTTATTAGGCCACCTTTGCGGCCTCATATATGGGACACGTGTGCCGTCCTCCTTATTTCTGCTTTCAAGTATGTTTCACGGTTCGTCTACAGGTTTCGGTAAACATTTAACACAAGGCGGGCCGAGAACTAGTCTGTTACTCACATATAACCCGATAAGTGTCATTACCATAGTTATCATAACCATATTAAACATTAAATTATAGAAATAAATATAGGCATCTCGTTTTTACCATCACACCGCCCGCCACCGGAGTAGAGTTCATCCATACTACCTGGAGCCACTGCGGTCATCCACAGTGCGTTTCCAGAGGTCTTTTTTGCCACGTACCATCCGGCTATGGAATGAGCTCCCCTCCACGGTGTTTCCCGAGCGCTATGACATGTCCTTCTTCAAACGAGGCTTGTGGAGAGTATTAAGCGGTAGGCAGCGGCTTGGCTCTGCCCCTGGCATTGCTGAAGTCCATGGGCGACGGTAACCACTCACCATCAGGTGGGCCGTATGCTCGTCTGCCTACAAGGGCANAAAAAAAAAAAAAAAAAAAAAGAAAATAACGATAAAAACATTTAAATATTTAACTATTCCATAGTTTTTCGTGACCATTTTTTTTCAAGTAAATTATCAATTGCTAGTTTATATTCTTTTACCTTTTTCGAAATAATGAACATGGGTACTTTGGTGCCGTCTTTACTGGAGTAGAATATCTGTTTGGCCTCGTACTGCGACGCGTCGAATCCTTTGACTGTAACTTCTCTGAACACCTGGGACAAGATTATAACATTACATATATACACACATATGTCTATAGATATAGTGTTCTCATAAAATTATTTTTTATATATATAATTCTACTGTACGTGTCTATGCCACTGAACTCCTCCTAAGCGGCTGGACCGATTTGAATGAATTTCTTTGTATGCGTTTGGGTGGCGCCCTGGATAGTTTCGGTTCACAAATCAGCCCGGCAGATGGCGCTGCAGTCGGTATATATGTTATTATATCGATACTGCAACTAAACGACTGGATCGACTTGAATTAATTTTTGTGTATGCATTCACGGGACGTCTGTCGGGTCCGCTAGTATTACATATATTTTTATAGAAAACGAATTGATTTTAATGTAAGTAAAATGTTTATTTATTTTTTATTTATTGCTTAGATGGGTGGACGAGCTCACAGCCCCCTGGTGTTAAGTGGTTACTGGAGCCCATAGACATCTACAACGTAAAGGCGCCAGCCATCTTGAGATATAAGTATTAAGGTCACAGTATAGTTGTAGTAACGGCTGCCAACCCGAAACGCATTACTGCTTCACGGCAGAAATAGGCAGGGTGGTGGTACCTACCCGCGCGGACTCACAAGAGGTCCTACCACCAGTAATTACGCAACTCATAATTTTGCGGGTTGTATCTTTATTACACGATGTGTTACGATCTCAATATTGTAACAGAATGTAAATGATTAGCTAGCGCCATCTGTCATCAACTGTCAGTCTGTGTAGAACTTTGACAATAAATCTCTAGTCTACTCTCAACCGCAATCTATACTAATATATAAATCTAGTGGTTTTTACGGATGTTCCCTTATAACTACTGAACCATGCATCCGATTGATTTGAAACTTGGTATCCATGTAGAAAATACATGTACTTAATGGATAGGCTAATATTTATATGAGTGTTGGACTCTCTAATAATAATGACATTAAATAATAATGTTAATTTTAAATTCGAAGCGGGCGAGTACGGCTAGTTTACTCATAAAACACGTTTTATTACGCACCTTCGGAGTATACGGCTTCTGTTTGAAGTCCACGTGGTAGATGACTCCCGGCGTGAGGAACGACATGAAGTGATAGAATATTTCCGTTTGATTCTTCTTGCCGGTGAAGCCGACCACGGACCCGACGTCCAACGGGAACGTTTGTATAAACTCGCCAGTTTTCAAGTCGTGCAATTGAAGTACGCTCTGAAATTAAATAATCAATATGAATATTAAAAAAAAAAAAGATTCTCGCGAGTCATAGGCACAATTTTTTTTTTGGATCGCCCTTTAAATACCGAAACGCATTACTGCTTCTCGGCAAAAACGGTCAAGGCAGTAGGTACCTGCCCGTGGGGACTCACAAGGCTACAAAACTATTACGGTACAATCTCGGGAGTTTTTTTTATTGTCATTATATTATTAGCGAAGTTTCAAATAATTTACACTTTTCGTGGTCACCGACGACTAAAGTGTTATATGTCGACACTTGAATAGTCAGCTAACTTATGAATACAATTAAATTGTAAAAAAGTAATTGAAAAAAAACAACAGCATTATGTGGGTAGTTCGAAGGACATTATTATGTAAGTTACGTATACCCTCCATAATGTAAGTATAGATTCATTGGGTAAGCGATACGATTACGGTATTAACATGAAATTGATTCTCTAATGTGTTGTCGCTAAATTGTCTATGCAAGTGTCGAATACACCTTATACCTACTTCGGTCTTATTAACAAACCTTTTGCGTGCCCATATAAATATGTATAAATGGGACGTTAATAATTGCAAAACATTTTTTTAATTAGCATTTATCAGTAATTCAGACGAAGTAGTGACATTAGTTGATAGTTACATAAACTGTGCTAATGCCATATGCAATGTTTATAAGCGTTGTTAGATGTCAGACATGTTATACCTTTAAACGAGCAATTATTGTATATATAATATAATCTGAATCTCGGAAACGGTTCCCACGAATTTCAAAAAATTTAGTATACAGGGGATTTCGGGGGCGATAAATCGATCTAGCTACGATTTATTTTCAGAAAATGTTTTATTCGTATTTTCAATAATCACCTCTTCCCGAAATCTATTGGCGAATAATAATACAATTTTTCTTAATTGAGGGCAACTAATCGCTTTAAAGACACAACAAGATGGCGTTATCGAAAAAAAAACCGAGCAAAGCTCGATTATCATGAAAGAGAAATTGAAATTTTGAAATACGTCACCTTGACGTCCCTGATGTAGTGTATGACCAGTTTATCTTGGTCTACGGCGGCCGCCCAATCCAGCACGTCCGTCGGGTGTTCCTGCAGACAACAAGCGCATTAGTGTAACAACGTGCGACGCTGCCTTAACCAAATAATTGAGCAGCATTTATTTTCACGCATTCAAAAATTACTATAAACCCAAAAACACTGAGGTTTCGAATCTGGCTGCACCTTAATACGAATGCGTTCAAGACGTATCGTCGTAAACCTTCGAACTTACGGGTACTAACGTCCGCCAGTTTTCCTTGGCGGGATTCTGGAGGTCGATCATGATCAGCCTGTAGTTGGGAGCATTCTTGTTCGTGCGGATGATGCATACAGAATCCTCATTCGTGACGTACTGAAAAATAAATAAATTAATATTTATAATAGTGTAAAAAAGTAGTTTAAAAAAAAATTGGTATTTCCTTTTCCAATTTCGGTAAACTGAATTTTTGAATATATGAAAGTGAATATTGACGTCACTATTCAAATGCATGAAACTACAATGCTTATTAATTGCTTATTTCCACACGGACTTTAAATTTGTTTTGGTTGATCGACCGTGTTCATGGTTAGGTTTGTCACCGTTCTAGTCGAACTCCAAAGAGTTCAACGTGTAATCTAGACACACAGATACAGCCCACTGAGTTTATCGCCAGATCTTCTCACAGTGGGTCGCAATTCCGATCCGGTGGTAGCCTCATTGAAGCTCTGCTCTTACTAGGGCTGTTGTTAGCAAACTCTCTCAGATTTCCGCCCGTGAGCTCACCTACTGGTTCTCGGGTAGCTGAAATAGCNTCTAGTCGAACTCCAAAGAGTTCAACGTGTAATCTAGACACACAGATACAGCCCACTGAGTTTATCGCCAGATCTTCTCACAGTGGGTCGCAATTCCGATCCGGTGGTAGCCTCATTGAAGCTCTGCTCTTACTAGGGCTGTTGTTAGCAAACTCTCTCAGATTTCCGCCCGTGAGCTCACCTACTGGTTCTCGGGTAGCTGAAATAGCAATTAGGTGAGCAAACAAAAAAAATGCTTGATTTTTTTTAAACCTTTAAAAATCTTATTTTTTATTTATTGCATAGCTTGGTGAACTCACTGCCTGCCGTGTGTTAAGTGGTTACCGGAGCCCATAACCATCTACAACGTAATTGCCCCCACCTACCTTGATCTACGAGTTCTAAGGTATTAGCATAGTTACAACGGCTGCCCAATCCTTCAAACCGAAACGCATTACTGCTTCCCAGCAGAAAAAGGCGGGGTGGTGGTCCCTACCCGTGCGGACTCACAAGAAGTCCTACCACCAGTAAACATGTGTGTTTGAAACGGATAAGTATAATAAAGCGTCTAGAGAGTGTTGCGTGTTACTGAGGATAACAGCGGTGATAGAAACACCCTGTATTTTTAGTTTGATTGATCACCTCGTAATCGGCTTCGAATTCCTCGACGACGGGCATGAGCGGCAGCTTCCCGTTGATTTCCGGGTGCTTGCTGAGGTCGGCGAAGAACAGCAGGTTGTCGCGGCTGTCGCGCACCGGGTACACGAGCAAGTACCGGCCGCAATCAGACACGTCGGCTACGCTGTGACAAGATATTTAAATTTTTTATTTTTTTATTGTGAGGTTTTGTGTTGAGGTTTTATTGTGCGTTGTGTGTTGTCCACCGAATGTTCACCATTGACTTTCACGGTGAAAGAATAACATCGTTTAACAAAAATCAAACTCGCGGTGGCAGGACCTCTTGTGAATCCGCACGGGTAGGTAGGTAGGTACCTATTTCTGCCGTGAAGCTGTAATACGTTTCGATTTGAAGGGTGGGGCAGTCGTTGTAACTATACTTGAGATCTTAGAACTTATATCTCAAGGTGGGTGGCGCATTTGCGTTGTAGATGTCTATGGCCTCCAGTAACCACTTAACACCAGGCGGGATGTGAGCTCGTCCACCCAACTATGCAATAAAAAAATCTTATCGAAGCGGTCAATAAAACACTACGTACAATTATATGCCTATTCGCGTCAGCAGCCGCGGTGGATCGCTGTCCGTTAATGACCGCTGACTGACCAACGTATATACGTTAGCTTACTAGTAGCATAGTAAGCTAAGCGGGGCGGGGTATTATTCCCCTACATTATTATTCACAAACACAGTTAAAGGCACAGGACACCAAACTAACAGCCTTGTATTTTTATTATTTTAATTTAAACAAGTACAGAAAACTTTGCGGTTTACGGTACGGCTTACGGTTTTTCCCTACCTATTAGTTGGAGGCTAGGGAGAAGTGTTTCTAATCATACGACCACCGCTGTATTTCCTTAGCAACAAAAATAAAATGTTTTATAACGAATTTATGTTACCATATTTATGGATTGGTTGTTTTTTTTATTATTATTTTTACTAATGCCAGCACTCACATTCTCCACAGCGGTTCCTCAGGAAACTCCACAACAACAACGTCTTCGGACTGCGACGTGTTTATCCGGTGATAGCAGAGTTTCTGGTCGTGATTCACTTCAGTTTCCGATCCGTCCGTCTTGCCGGTCTGTTTCGGGTACATCTGCGTTCAAAATTAAACACCGTTTTTGTTAATATTTCACTTCGGTATATTTGGAAATTTGGGCAAACGAGCTTAGCGGGTTACGTGAGTCCATAACAACGTCAATAGGGATACGAAAGTAAGATCAAAGTCTCAATAGTATTGTAGAACAGCTGTCCCCACTTTTCAAATCAAAGATTCAAGGCAGAAATAGGCAGGGTAGTGGCTTTAGTAAGCCTGAACGGTGCGAATCAGTTAGGTTGGGTTCACACGGGATTGTCCTGCACGTTTATTTGCAGTATACGTCTTAACGAATGAATAGTGACACATACATTGAACACCGAACTAGTAGATGAACTTACGAGGCTCAAACCGGGAGTATTACTAACACCGGCCTTAGCAAGAGCTTAGCTTAGCTTCGCAGAATCTACCACCGGATCGGAAACGCGACCCACTGAGAAGATCCGGCAAAGAAACTCAGTGGGCTGTGTCTATGGGTTAATTTACTCGTCGAGCCCTTCGTCGCAAGCGACGGGTTCAGCGAAGATGGTGACCGGAAAGGTTGCGTTATAGGTCAGTGCGAGCGTTAGCAACGAGTAGCGTCCAATATTTTAAGAAGTATTTAAAAATATATATTTATTTATTTATCTATACATAATTTAAAATAAATATAATGTAAAATTTGAAGATGTCGCATCTCTTATACACGGCATTCCCTATTACAAGAGCAATCTGATTTAAGGACGAAAAATGAAGAAAACCACAATACTACACATCGAAAAATAAGTTTCACGTCACCGAGTGCGCGTGCACTGTTTTTTTTAATGACATTTAGCTGACCTGAAATAAATGTTCGTGCTCATTTTTATAGTTGAAAAAAAAGTAAACACAAACAACACATCGCCGCTTATTGCTTATAGGTCAAGTTCAACATCTCTACGTAGTCCAATGTCAAACTGGCATGGAAACGGACAAAATAGAATACAAGTTTTCCTAGTGTGACCTTTTCATCATTCATGATATGAATCCAATATGCACTTACCGAGTAAAACAATCCCTTGTTATCTTTCGTCCACGACATCGAAGCGAATTTGACTTTTTCTAAAACCTCCGGATAATCTTCGCCTAGAATACGACATAACCGTTAAATCAGTAACAGAATTAGCTGTTGAATAAACAAGTGGCTAAAGGTCTCATTATCGGGGCACTAATTTATTAAAAAAAAAAAAAAAAACGAAGAAATGTGATTATTTTTGTGGTTTCTGTACATACATATACGAGAGAAACTTTCTTTTACAAAAATTAACAACCTATTTCTGTAATCAGTCCCGGATTTGGTTAACGACATAGTCAGTTGAGTCTCGTGTTTCTTTCCATGATAATAATATTATACAGTAAAAGATCCTTATTCCCGTTTCCTTCATTCGCGTTTTCACTATTCGCGGATTACAAAAAATACAACCCAATTCCTACATTTGCGCCTAAAGATTTCTTTATTCGGGGATCTAATCCGTACATACACATTATTATAGAGGATTCCAATATGTACGTATCTAACCGCATATCCTTTGTAGGCGCGCTTTATCATATTCACGGTTTCTGTATTCGCGACATACTCACGGAACGTATATTCCGCGAATAAAGAGCTTTTACTGTATGTAAAACTGTAAGAGTTATGTCGGTATATTAGAAGCAATTACAGGAAGGTTACGGCGGTCTATGGACTGACCACAAATCATCTTTCTTATCAAAGTGCAGACGGGGCGTAATTGTTTTTCTTTTTTCAAGTGTTTCTATATGTCTAATTTATGGCATATTCTACAACCTACATTTTTGACTGATGTTAACATACAAGGTGGTATTACATTAGTCAGTAGTGGGAGTGTGTGTTATCACTTATCATAACATGGTGTTTGCCATCAACAAAAAATTATAATAAATAATTTTTTTTAATGTGAAAAATGATATGAAATTAGATAATACGGGATGAAATATAATCTCAGTAAAATGGTGGTAATTTACTGAGAGTTTTTCTGTGGACTTTTTGGAGGATCCCGAGAAGTTACGTTCAGTGACTTTGTATCAATTTCCCACATTTGTGCACTTTCACATATACTAAACAGTTAATAAACCACCGTTATTACACATTTAAACCTGAAGAAATACTAAATAGACAAAATAAAACTCGCGTTCCCGCCAAAAATTCGTATAAGAGAATAAGAGTGAACAGTAAGAGTGAAAGCTTACCGGTGGCAACGTCTTTGAAATGTATAGCGATCCAATCAGATCCGCTGGCAGAAAGTCCGTACGCCAAGGTGGATCCGTCTTCGGTGAACTTTGTACCGGAAAGCGCCACCGTGCCGTCTTCGGACAGAGTGTTCGGGTCCAAGAACACGCGGGGTTCGCCGTCCAGACCATCTTGCACGTACAACGCACTTAAACAATATTTTGAAGTGAAACTTCTAATGCGACTTCTAACAAGGTTGCGTTAAACGTTTAACGCTACCGTACTAGAAAGAGACAGAGCGAGAGTGAATGCGTAGCACTCGAACCGTAACGCATGCGCGTAGTATACCAGTTACAGGGCCAGTACGAGCGTGTCCAATATTTTAATGAAATAAGTATTTAAAATTTTTTATTTTATTTTTCTATCTATAATTTAAAATATATATAACACAAACGTTGAAGATGTCGCATCTCTTATACACAATATTACCTATTACAAGAGCAATAGGAGCAGATATAAGTAGTATGGATGAACTCTACTCCGGTGGCAGACCGTGCGAATATAAAAACGAGATGATGTGTAATTTCATATATAATATGAAAATTGATTTCACTGTAAAATAAGTGGTATTATTAAATCACTTGCACTTGTAAGATTGAATTGAATACCGATAAGATTATTTCTACTGAAAATCGATTGACACATCGATTGAAACAAATCATATTCGCCCATACAGCTAAGTTCGTGGGTTATAAATCGTATTAAATACGTATATAAGACTTTTTGATAGTTTTAAGGTTTGTTCAATGAAACGCAAGTGAACTTAAATAGCGCTATCGGTATCTCATTTATTAATGGTTTCACTTTAAATATAATATTATGGGTACTTTTCTTAAATGTTATTTTTTATTATTATTTATTATTGCATAGATGTGTGGACGAGCTCACAGCCCACCTGGTGTTAAGTGGTTACCGGAGCCCATAGACATCTACAACGCAACTGCGCCACCCACTTTAAGATATAAGTTCTAAGGTCTCAGTATAGTTACATGTTAGACATTAATTTGTACATCAAATACACATATTAGATCTTTTTCACTCACTTCTGGTTCTGCAGACCGGTGTTCTTGAAGAAGAAGTATCTGCTGCCCTTCCTGAAGGGGCATGAATATTTAGGGTAGTTCCACAGTTCCGTCAGCCTCTCGTTGATCGATTTCTGCACGGGACAGGCGTCTAAATACGGACGCGTTATCTTGTTCTGAGCCTCGACGAATTCTTTGGTTTCATTCGAATCTGGATCTTCGAGCCAACGGTATGGATCTTTGATCTGAGAAATAAAAAAAAATTACTCTAAACATAAATTTAAAATGATTGATCAGTCAATGAAGCCTGATGTATCACTACATAGTATAAAACAAAGTCGCTTTCTCTGTCCCTATATCCCTGTGTATGCTTAAATCTTTAAAAATACGCAACGGATTTTGATGCGCTTTTTTTAATAGATGGAGTGATTGAAGAGGAAGGTTTATATGTATAATAACATCCATTAAATAGTGGAGAAATCAATAATAAATTACAGTTGCCGAAGCGAATCGGGGACGGGTCGCTAGTTCTAAATATACCGAAATTGTTAAATATAATTTTTAGTAATTTTGCATAACTTTTTATTGCCTCTCTAAGCGGATGAGTAAGCGGCGTGTTCGTCGTTGTTCATAAGTATCAGGAATGGCAGTAGTAGGTATAGTCAGCCGCTAGCAACGAGAACTTTTTTCAAAACTTGCTTGATACTTATGTATTCTTTTTTTCATGTCCGATGAATGTATGTCTAATATATTGTGTATATATGAATATATTTGTATTAATGAGAATATAAATATTTATGTTCAAATTGGATATCTATACTAATATTATAAAGCCGAAGAGTTTGTTTGTTTGAACACGCTAATCTCAGGAACTACTGGTCCGATTTGAAAAATTTTTTCAGTGTTAGATAGCTGATTTATTGAGGAAGGCTATAGACTTATATATAACAACACGGTAAGGCCAATCAAAGTGGAGCACCAATAAAGAATGTTTCAAAATAGGGGTTTAAATAGCTCCTTAATATTCTATAATTCAACAATATTTTTATTTTCTACGTAAATGAAGTGGGGGTAGAATTTAGCGTTATGCCAAAGTAACTATTCCACGCGGACGGAGCCGCGGGCAAAAGCTAGTTATTTTATGATTGTACAACATTGTCTGTTATGTGTATGAATGTATACTAACTGTTTTGTAATATATAATTATGTTTTTGTTTTATGGAGTGCATGCACCGCTGCACTCTCCACCACCCTTGGTTGACTGCTAGAGAATAGTTTAGGCATTCAGTTTTTTTTTGGATTGAAGGATTATTGGTGGCCCGGAGGCCGTTCCTGTTTCACTAGGTCAGATGGGCGAGCAAAGGCTCAACCAAGAGGGGCGCGGTTTGCTAACAGATGCCTGAGCGCCTCCGAAGGAGACCTCAATCTTACAACTCAAGAGCAGCTGCTTCGCGAATGAATCTACAACCGGATCGGAATCGCGACCCGCTGAGAAGATCCGGCGAGAAACTCAGCGAGCTGATGCATGGGTTAGGTTGTATATCGAACTCTTTGTCGAGTTCGACGAGTATGGTTACCGGGGAGGCATTAAGTCCGCCACTGTGCTGTTATGCATAAAGACAAATAAATAAGTAATTAAATAAACAAAGTAATATAGTATAACTTCCTTCCTCATATTCCCGTCAAAAGCGCCATTTATTCATTCATACGTTAGTTTTCATAGTGCAAACCCTGATTACTTTGATATTGGGTAATAATGAAGAATGAGCAAGCGTTTTCTTCACTTGAAATATACCCAGAAACCCGATTTATTACAAAAACTGTATTTAAATATCTTTTTTTTTATGCCAGTCTATCGATGTAATTTCCTCTGTAATTTCGGCCAGCGGTACCATGCGCTTAAATTTGATTTAAAGCTTTTTTTTTTCTATGACATTTCGTTTTTGCAACAGGTTTCGCGAGTCAACGCTTCAAAATATATTTCGTATAAAATTTTAACGCGCAAATAAAGCGTTTACGCTTCGTTCAAATCCTGTTTTTTTTTTCTTGACTTATTATTTTGGAATAAATTTTGCGAGTCCTAGTGGTCGTCGAACCGTTCGACTGAACATCCTAGAACACATCTATCTATATATAATATAAAAATGAATTGCTGTTCGTTAGTCTCGCTAAGACTCGAGAACGGCTGGACCGATTTGACTAATTTTGGTCTTGAATTATTTGTGGAAGTCCAGAGAAGGTTTAAAAGGTAGATAAATATGAAAATGCTCGGAATTAAATAAAAATAACAATGTTGTTTTTCCTTTGATGTGTCCCCCGTCGGACGGATTCCTTTTGTTTGTTTTAAGTTTATTTTACACAAAAGTTTAGGTCTCAATTTATCGATTGAGGCACTACGAAGTCTGCCGGGTCAGCTAGTTAAAAATAAATATTTCTTCTTGAATACAAAACGTTACTTTTTATATTTATGAGCATACGGGTCCAAGGTCCGAAAGTACATGGAATAAACAAAATAACCTTTTGAATTTAAAACGTGTTTGGAAAACGTTAATTGAATACATAATGACTTCGCAACAGCGTTTACCGCTATAGTAATGCGAATCTTTAGGAATTTGATTTAATTAGTCGATTTTGACGCTTAATGTCAAACGGTTAAGAAAAAAAAACCAGACGTAATGGCTTGTTGAAAATACTTGTACACTCTCTTGTGTGGTACAGAAAACAATTAATGAAAAACTGAATATCGTTATTTTGATTCTACTTATTCGCTTATGCTGTTTTTGTGTGTGCGGTCTATTCGTATCAAATAATATTGTTTGGTGTATTCGTAACTCGATCGAGGTCAGTGACCGTTTCATGACAAAGGCTTAGGAAGTATTGACTGTTTTCCGTGCTTTCGGTAGAAACCGCAAAAATAAAAAAAATCTTTTTCATTTAACACGATGCTGTGAAGATTGACTCTTTAAAGTTCGACAGGAAGATATTTTTTTTTACATGAATGAAAATTGTTTACTGTTTGTGTGTGTAATATTTTCAGATTTCGTGTAAGTCATGTTATATTATTATTATTTCAATAGTTCACGGGTATGCAATCAAAACAAAAAAACTCTATAAGTACTGGACAGCGTAAATTATCTAATTATCTCCAAGGTTGTACGTGTTATATTATCATATTAATAATACAAAATATTGGTAGACGTGAAAATATGTTCTTTTTAAATTTCCATTAGTGAGCACAATTACCATTTTGAGTGAAGGTTTATTTATTAAAATCGTTTGTGAGATTCTTTTGTATAATGGCATGCTTGTTTGACTCTTTCATTGTTGGCTCGAAATACATTATCGATAGATTTCTATATTTTCCCATTATTTATTATTTGCGTTAAATTCAATTATCTCAGCTCTTAATTTTCTTGAGATTGACAATGCTAATACCGGATTTGCCCTATTTAAGGGTGAGATTTTATTTTTTGTCCTACATGGTTTAGCTGACCATGCCCAATGCAATCTATGCTGGGATGTGAGACTGAAGTCTTCATTGTGTGGTGGTTATCCCGACCATTCTTTCCGGTCACCGTTCTCGCCCAACCCGTCGCTTGCGACGAAGGGCTCGACGAGTAAATTAACCCATAGACACTTCCCACGAGTTTCTCGCTGGATCTTCTCAGTGGGTCGCGTTTCCGATTCGGTGGTAGATTCTGCGAAGCACTGCTCTCGCTAGGGCCAGTGTTAGCAACACTTCGGTTTGAGCCCCGTGAGCTCACCTACACTTCAAGGCGGAGCTGAAATGGACTCTCAAGGCTATCAGCATAGGTAGGTTAAAAAAAATACACTTCTAACCAGAATTAAACGTATGACTGCATTCCGGAGGGAATAAACAAAGTGGAAATATCCACTAGTGTGTTCTCACTTTTATTCCACGAGTCTGTTACAGTTTGAGCCCAGTTTTCGACTGTCCCTCATCCATTACCAAGTATACCAAACACTGCACAATATTATTCCTTTACCGCAGAATTCATTTTTAAACAAATTTTACTTTAGAAGAACGTGTGCAAGAATTTAAATCGCCTCAAAGGTATCGCTTGGCTGGCATTATATCGAACGCCTTTATTTTCTTGATACAATAAACTATTACTTATTCACAAGTACTTGTGACCTAATAAACAGTATTATATATACTGACACGTGTGGTTTATAATGCGTTGTTAGCGAAACTATGTTCCTACAACAAAGTCGTGGGAATCGCAACACGAGGTTTGTACAGTAAGTATAAGTATATTAATAATTTATACGTTTCTTTTAATTGATTTTCTTATGCGCTTAATGTAAAACTATGCTGGTTGATGTAATAAAAATACGAAAAAAAAAACAAATAATCAAATCAAATCAAATCAAATCAAAAAAGTTTTATTCAACATAAATGAAAGTACATACTTATTGAACGTCAAAAGAATTACAGTTTACAATATTAGTGGAAAATTTATATTGAATTATAAAGCAGTTCTTGAATTAGGTAATTAACTTTAGTTGGCTTTTTATCTCATCTTATAATTTCGATTTTAGGTCACCGCCCAGATCGATACCGCCGTCCTGACGTTGAGCCATAAGCAGTTATGAATTCTTTTCAATGGTTGAGTAGTAGCCCTTATCTCGATTTAATTTAGTCTTCGAATTCAAGTCTCGCACAAAATTGGGTATTAAAGGAAGTATTTTTAGAAATTTGGGAGAAAACCCAACACCAATAAATAGATATTTTTCTCCTGTTGCATATTTGTAAAAAAAAAATAAAGTTATGTAAAATTTATTTTCAACTTTCAATAATGAGCTATTTAGATTTAAAGATTTTTTTTATTTTACTCCACAATGTTATTTATAAAATAATAATACGATTATATGGATTTCTGTCACTGGCAATCGCGTGTTCTACTCCGTCGAAGATGAAGTTTACCCGAAATAATTATACTGAAATAACCACAACTGTAACGAAGATCTAAACAGTACTGTTTCGGCTATGCGATACCGGCCTAGTATATTAAGTAAGTAGGTACAATCTACAGATATAAAACTCGAGTGTGTACTCTAGGTATAGACTTCGCAGCGGCTGAATCGATTTCGATGAAATTTTCAGGAAATCTTTAGACTGGGTTATCGGTTTTTGTGAGTACATTGGCGATCTAGGTTTGCCGCTAGGGACGCTGTTCTAACTCCATACAAATTTGAATTAACTTTTACGCGATCGAAAAGTTAAAAAACTCGCACTAAGCACATTTACTAAGTATATTTACTGGTGGTAGGACGTCTTGTGAGTCCCCACGGGTAGGTACTACCACCCTGCCTATTTCTGCTGTGAAGCAGCAATGTGTTTCGGTTTGAAGGGTGGGCAGCCGTTGTACTGTAAAAACTGAGACCTTAGAACTATGAAACATATATGAAAAAACACTGATCTAAATCAAATCAAAAAGATTTTGACTAGTATGGCCTCCCCATATATTCACGAACAGCGGTAAGGATCTAGCCCCTTAAATAAAACGCCAAAAGAGTTTCATAAAATGCGACAAATCCTTCACGTAACTCTTATATTACGAGTCATGTGAACGCCAATTACACACTACTTTTGATTTCGGTAGATGATCCAACGACTAATTTATCGTATAATTAGCCATTGACACTGTTCGACTTTTAAAGTCCGAGACAGAAGGACCTCCGTTGTCGAGTAGCGACAATCCAGGTTATTTTTAGGACAAAGTAACTCCTATCTAATCAAATAAAACATGTAAAAAATAAATATTGTCGGCAGTCTAAGCATGTCTAACGCACCATGCGAGAAAAATTCCCATTCCGGGTCAATATATTTGTTTAGAACATTCGATTCGGGTTCGGATTGTGCTTAATCTTTTTCCTCTGTTTTCGGTATTTATTAAAAAAGTAAATCTTATTTTGGGGCCGTCGAATTTCGAACAATTTGACAATGAGATAGTGATGTTGTACGCTGAGGTACGTCACGCATATGCGGGTGAAAAACAACGTTACTAGGTTATTCGTAAGTTTCCATAGTTTTTTTTATTGCCCTTGTAGGCAGACGAGCATACGGATCACCTGATGGTGAGTGGTTACCGCCGCCCATGGACCTCAGCAATGTCAGGGACAGAGCCAAGCCGCTGCCTATAGTCATTTCATACTATTTCAATCGTTCTCTGCAAAATACTGCATTTATTTACGTACCTATCCATTTTACAAAACACCTTTACGAACCGGTTCCAAAAATTCAAATTATACAGCCATATACACGTTGATTTCGTTTTTCAATGATTTTTTTGTGTGACTATTACTTAATAAACAAAAAAATTTATAACGGATACAGCATAATATACCAAATGAGCTTTTAATGGCTACGAGTGTCACTCGTGATCGGTTTACGAAAAATTTACATTCAAATATTGTTGCGTACTACTTACTATCTTACTACCTTTTATTATTTCCGCGAGCCGTGAACACACGTAATTCAAAACGCTTCACGCTTAAATATTATCGTGCTAAATTAATTATCGATGTCCGAGTGGGAATGTGTGTATTATAATAATAATTGTATTATTGAAAACAAACAAGAAAAACTTTAATAAATACCTTAGTTCCATGATAGTCGTCGACGACGGTTTCGTCACGTCTCACCGCTGGATAGTCATACGGCATATTCCTTGAGGACAATATTGTCGTGCCGGTGCACTGCGAAAAGGCGCACGCTATTAAAACACATATTATACAGGCACGCATCGCGAACACCAAGCCCATAACTGAGTTGGATGAAGCCAACACGCCCACTTATAAAGGCTAACGCAGCCACAACAGCAAACAGAATATGATCACTGCGAACAACCGTGCGAATGTGTAGGCACTAGGTTAGACAGGTTTTTGACAGAATTATTTTTCGAACGGACCGCGATTGCAGGTTCGTTTTGTTATTAAAACTAGCGACCCGCCCCGGCTTCGGATTATCGTAGCCGAAGTCTGAAAGCACCTAGATTCGAACCAAACGATTTCCTACTTTACGAATGATAATATTCAAGTACTTTGCCTCTTAAATAATATCGAGCTGAGCCCGGGACGCGCTATTTATAGGTTTACCTTGTTTTCGTGTAATTGTTCAAATTGCGATTATTCTTAATTATTCATTTTATATGGTGCCAAGGACAAGAATCGATTTTCCTATTTATTATTCTATGAATTTATTCCGCATTTGTTATACATAGTTATAGCAACGTTAAAGTTCGTTACGTGGTTTAAAAAATTAAGCGCACACACAGACAGACAAAAATAACGGTTGGGCAGTATCACATATTTGTTGCTAACGAATATCTCTTTCCTTTATAATTTTTTTGTTATATTTTTTTACCTGTTTTTTGTTATGGTTTTTATTACATGTTTGTGTATGTGTATGTAACTATATGTATTACATGTTTGTGTGTGTAACTATATGTAAAACAGTAGAATATTTAATTAATAATAGACTAGACTGGTATTTGGAAAACCATAAAAGATTACCACCTGTACAATTTGAATTCCGTAAAGGTAAAAGTATTACAGAATGCCACTCTTATTTTGATCTCTGATATTCGTTATGCCTTCTCTTCGAACGTTTTTGTTGTAGCTGTTTTTATCGACATTTCTGCTGCATATGATAACGTCCCAATTTTAGTACTCAGAAGCAAGCTGCTACAGCTGAGTTTACCTTGCAAGTTGGTACAATTAATATGCAACTAGCGATCCGCCCTCGCTTCGCTTCGGAAACATTAAATTTTATTATTGATAGCCGAGACCCGCGATGTTACCCGCGGTTGTTGTTGTACTGCGGGTGATGCTGCGGGGCGAAGCTAGTTTAAAAAAGTAGCTTAAGCTACTCCTTATATCATCAGCTACCTACCAGTGAAAGTCTCGTCAAAATTGGTCCAGCCGTTCCACAGATTAGCCGGAATAAACAGACAGATAAAAATAAATAAATAATTTTTTGGTAAATGTACAGCGGTATACATACTTACGCATTTAGTAAAAAGTTGTTATTTTATTATTACAAACAGACAATCCAATATTATTTATTTGTATAGATATGTAAGATGATCGCAAGATTCATCTACTCTTCCTCAGATCATTTATAGATAGAAGACAAACTTGGAAAGACTTAACACGAGGGACAGTATTTAATATCTTCACTAAGGATATTCACAGAAAATTAACAAGTAATTGCCAAATGATCAAATATGCTGATGATATGTGCACACATCTCATAAGAGCAATCCTGTGGCATCGTCTGTTTTAACTAAATGCTTGAATTCTATTGGAACTTGGTAAGAAGAACATGGTTTGGAAATCTCAGCCCACAAAAGAACGGTAGCTATATTCTCAAGGAAAAAAGTATCCTTCCTGTCGCAGTAAAATACAGAGAAGAGTTTATTCCTGTCTAAAATACTCTTAGGTTCCTCGGTTTAACTCTAGACTCGCATCTTAAATGGACAGCTCATGTCGATACAGTAGTTGATAAATGTGAAAAGAATATGAACTTATAGAGGGCCCTCTTGGGAACTTGATGGGGTGCCCATCCATACTCTCAAACTTAGTAGTCTGAGAGTATGGATGGGCACCCCATTAAGTTATGTAGTTATAACGCTTTAATACGCAGTATATTAGACTTTGGCTCAATTATGTCGGAACCACACGATAAAAACCTCTGTCACGTTTGGATAAAATACAAGTGAAAGCCTTAAGTGTTGTTTTGGGGGCTATGAAATCGTCTCCCAATAGCGCATTGCAGGTCGAAAGTGTTGATCCACCTTTACGTTTAAGACGAGACAATACGTAGCAGAGCGCTTCTTAATCAAAGTATTCCAAATAATCTCTAACCCCGTACTTACTAAACTCATATCACTAACTAGATGATGACCGAGCTTTGCTCAGCTTTTTTTTTTTTTTTTATAGTTCCATCTTGTTTTGTCTTTAANGCTCAGCTTTTTTTTTTTTTTTTATAGTTCCATCTTGTTTTGTCTTTAAAGCAGTAAAAATAGTATTATTATTCGCCAATAGATGTCTGGAAGAGTCATAAAGTTGATTATCGATAAAGTTGATTATTGAAAACACGAATAAAACAACATTTTCTGAAAATAAATCGTAGCTAGATCGATTTATCGCCCCCGAAATCCCCCGTATACTAATTTTTATGAAAATCGTTGGAGCTGTTTCCAGATTCAGATTATATATATATATATATATATTTTAATATACAAGAATTGCTCGTTTAAAGGTATAAGATAAGATAACCTACATGCACTCAAAATATTGGAGAAATAAAAATTGGCCCAGCCTTCTTAGAAGCGCGGAAAAAATAGCATACCTCTCGGCACCAGCTGTACAATCTGATATGCTACCTATTTATGAGACACCTTTTAATGCTCTCTGCCACGTCCCTAAAATTGTATAAGATACTAGCGACCCGCCCTCGCTTCGCTTCGGAAACATTAAAACACACATGAAACCAAAAAAATAAAATAAAAAAACAATTAAAAAAAAGTAACCTATGTTCATCAGGAACAATGTCGGCTTCTAATGGAAAAAGAATTTTTCAAATCGGTCCAGTAGTTTCGGAGCCTATTCGAAACAAACAAACAAACAAATCTTTCCTCTTTATAATATTAGTATAGATTGGCTTAAACGAAAACTCCTTAGGTATTAACTATAATTTCTTAAAAACGTTTACCGAGAAATTGTTTGGCTGGTATACATTTTACACTGATGCATCAAAATTGAATTCGAGTAGCAATGTGTGTTTTTCTTAATGCAACTGCTAAAGTTTGGAGTTTACATAAATTACCTGTTGAGACAAGCGTTTTTAGTCGAGAATGCATAGCTATTCTAAGCTGCATTACTCATATTTTGGAACAGTCAATCACCCTTTAGTAATTTTCACAGACTAAGTGCCTTACAGGCCATTTTTGGTCACCTTTTTAAAACTTGCATCCTTAATCGTATTATTTGTAAAATAAAGAAATGCCTTCTTAGATGCCATAATAATACTATTGTTGAATTAGCATGGGTTCCTGCTCATGTTGGCATAAAGGAAATGAGCGTGCAGATGATTTGGCAAAAAAGGCTACATTGCATGGCGATAACCGTTTTTTTTTATAATACAATGACCGAAGTATTAAGTATTGCTAAGAAAACCATTCCGTGACTGGAGTATCGAATGGGAATCAAATAAGTATAAGTATTCTATAATCCAACCAACAATATTCCATTCTCCGTGGTTTTCTAAGTACAGAAATTTTGACAAAAGTACCACTAGCATTCTTATCAGAATGCGACTAGGTCACGTTTGCTCACCTGTTCAACTGTTCAAATTCAAGCTAAGAAATACAGTAATATGTGATTGTGGAACCGAGGAAGGTACTGTGGATCATATATTCTTCAACTGCTTCCTAAACAATAAGTGTGATCCCCTAAATACTTTATTAAAAAAACAATTCCCCTCCACATAAAGATGAACTTCCTATTAACTTTCCCCACTAAAAAGGTAGTCTACTCTCTTGGATCTTTCATAGACGCTAATAATATAAAATTATAGTTCTTAATAACAGTTCAATGCAAAAATTGTAAAAATAGGTAAATTTATTTTCAGTTCATGCCTTTAAATATAATGTAAATAAATATAATGTAAAAACAAAATATAATATAAATGTCTTAGCATAATTATGTTGATATCTCCACTATCCAACTTTGGCAAAGTTGTACTTAAATTTAAGTAACAAAATTAGGAAGAAAAAAAAGGGCTTCTTATATTATTAATTGATAAATGATGATTGTCTAAAATAATTACACATATTTAGCTGTGTATTTGTTGGGTAGAATGTCGTCGCTTAGAATCGAAATAGAATATCGTCGCTTTTCGCGCAATTGTTAGCTGTGCGAAGCTATCTAACCTGGAAATTCGTTAAGTCGAAAATGCATTTTACAAAAACCTTAATCAAGTGATGTATATCAAGCGCGCTTAAAAACAAAACAAAAGGAAATGTTAATTTCAGCTTTCGCTATTTTATAATTATTTTACATTATTCTTAAATTTGCTAGCTTTTGAACGGCTTGGAACATAATGTAAAGGGCTTCATACTTTGTAAGACATCGTAATGTGCTTCGAGACCCGAAGCCCTAAATGCTTCGCGAACAATGCAAAATATAAGTAAAATAGGACTTCATTTAATTGATTTTGATTAAATTGCATTTAATTAACTAATTTTACGGTTTAATCCCGCGATTTCTAATGTAATTACATTATTTCAGACGTTCCGAATACTGTACAGTTTTCGAAAGTAAAGTGGTACCTACTATTCGCGAAAGCCGAAGACAATACAATGTTATATTTAGTTAGGGACAATTCCACGTCAGATTTATCCTATTGGAAAACAATAAGAAAAACAAAACTCCATTACTTACAATTAAATCAGTAGAATCTCCGCCTCAGGAGTTATTTTAGTTTCTATTACTATGCTATACTATAATATTTTTAGCACAAGTTTAATCGTAGCAAAACGTTTCATTCCTGTCAACAATTCATAAAATCTAAGAAAATACTGACCGACGCCTTTTACAAAAAGGAAACGGTCGACAAAATGAGTCAAGAAAAGGAAACATAGGTGTCACATTTGTTTTATAACTTAACGACTCCATTGTGTAAGTTCTATTGTTAATATCTAATTAAAATGCGGAGTTCCTTTATGAGCGAGCCATGAGATTTATAAGAGCTATATATATACCTACCTAGGTATCAAAGTTGGATTAGCCCTGTAGGCTACCAACGATTAGGTAGAGGAAAAAACTGAATTGATTGTATTTTTCAGGGTCCATATTGGGTCCCTTCCTATTTCTTGTATATATCAATGATTTACCTAAGTTTATTGAAACCCGTCACGAGGTCGTATTATTCGCTGATGATACATCATTATTGTTTAAAATTAAACGACATTTGGAAGATTATGACGATGTGAATGATGCTATCTCGCGCGTGGTACATTGGTTTAGTGTTAATAATCTGTTATTAAATAACAAAAAAACAAAATGTATAAAATTTACCACACCTAATGTTAGACAAGTAGACACTAATATTACTGTAAGTGGAGAGACACTGGAGCTTGTGGATTCGACAGTTTTTCTTGGTATAACAGTTGATTCCAAGCTGCAGTGGGGTCCTCACATAT